ATATGTTTTATCTCCCAAACGATGACAGAAAAGTTTGGATAAATAGTATACAGGGTGTTAACAAATGAGTATCACAACGAAAAACTGTTAATTCCTCATAATAAAAGAAACATTTCTTTCCTCTTCAACATTTTTCTTCGGGCTTCCGTTTTCAATGTACAGGGCATCAAAAAATCAAATATGTTCCGTTTGATTAAACACACTTGACAACACTCAGTAAACTCAACAATTTGGAAACCAGCATCGAGACCAGCATACTCAAGAACCTGACATTTGATTGGACATATTATTAGACAGTTCTGAGGTGTTTATGAATCAAGTCCTCTCTGGATTGAATCTATCACTTGTATATTACTGCTGCTTGTAAGCCACTGTTTTCTTGAAAACCAAATTAAATGCGGTTCTTGAGAATTTTTTCAAAAATTTTAGAAAATATGCTTGTTAAACCTATTGGTCTATAGTTTCTGAGCATTCTGAATTCGATCTGCTCATGCGCACATTCGCGATAGGAAATGAGCGTACGCTACCTATCGTAGTTCTTGAAAGCTGCTTATTGGTCATATCATCAAAACAAATCGCTCAGAAGTGTTCAAGTTGCTGCCGTCAGGTGGGGTGACGTGTTATTTTCTATCGCGAATATCGTATCAACATTGAATTTATTACTGCTCGATAATATTTGGCAATGCAATAATTTCTGATCTCTATAACAAATGGTGGGCGTATTTAGTGCATTCGCCATTTATTAGAATGTTCCAATTTTATTAGTGAAAATAATATCACTTTACCTCTTTAATATGTTAGTTTTATCAGAAATTCCTTGATGGAATATTAATATCTACCAATTCAGTACTACTCATATCAGAGTTACGTCAACTGTTAGTTATAATTCAATTAAATGGTGAATAGACGATCGCTTTCACCATATATTAAAATTTTCGATTTCAATATAAATATATTTTTTTCTACTCACATAACTGAAATGACATTTAGCGTACTGATATGTACCACGCAAAATGATCGATTAATCACGGATTGTCAAAAATATATGCGAAATGTAGCCGAAAGTGAAATCGAAGAGAATGTTCTGGTACTTGCATATCTCCAAGAAGTGTAAAAATGAAGCATCCATCTTTGAGAACAATTTATTTATTCTGCGCTAAGCATGACAAACGTGAAACAAAGATTGGTAAGCAATGGACTGGACACATCTACAACCAATATCACTTATACGTGTTTCGCTGGTTGCATGCAGTTGCATGTATTATGTTGTCAATTCCCATTCCATTCGAATTATTTTGTAGGTTAGCAGGAATAGCAGATATTTCAATGTTAGTTTCAGAGTTCGTAGAAAAAGCATAGTATGTAACGCGTTTATAAACTCTTCTAGACACTCGTTTATTGAACACTCGCTCCGCTCTGCTCCGCTCGTGCTTGAAATACTCGTTACTAAAAGGACGTTTATAACACTTGTTACATAATATACTATTTTGATCGTGCGTAGCTAAGAAGGATAAGGAGAAGAACTATTGGAGATGACGAAGTTCTTGGGAATACTTCCTTTGGCCTTTCAGTGACGGGTATTCATTAAATGAAGTGCCCTTTGCCCTGAGAACACGACCAAATGAAATTGAGCAAATATTAGTTACCCGTCTTTGTCATTCAAATGAAATTATGACGATAGGCATCGGCGAATTTATAACCTATCTAGATTTATTTAATAATTCCATCAACTCCAGAACAGAAGGCTGGAGATGGACTTTTCTGAGTACAAAGCATGCCCCTGATTGTACAATTATGTGAATATGACTGCGATCATTCCTTCCTTCCTTCATATTATTTTATGTATTATTCTACAGTTTTTCTACAGGGAGCACCACGTGAATGATCCCTGATTATGAAATCAACTGGTAACTGTGTTAGACGAAACTTCTTAGTGATTTTGATCAGAAAATATGACATACATAATTTTCAAGTAGAGTTAGTACTATTGTTCAAACACCATATAAATATATGTTCTCGAGAAAAACGCAATCGCACAGTTCAATGTCTCGGAAGGAGATTTCAAATATTTGATATTTGATATTGATATTTTCCGGCCTAGTCCGGGAAGAACGTACTTCCCGGACTAAGCTGGGAAGTATCACATCGTTGTTGTCACTGAAACTATAAAAATCTTGGTAGATATGATTTTCATAAATGCAGAAGATAATTACCATACCAGCGAAATATCGGCTGACATGAAATAAGTTGACATCTTGATTCTTTAAAGTTATTTGGTTGCAATTATACAAATCCATTGTTCTACAGGAGTCCCTCTGAACCCCAACTTCAATATTACTTCATGTCGGGAAGATTTCATCGCCGAAGTTTGTAGACAAAGTGCAAAAATGTGCCTTTTGTTGAAGTCTTCTGCCTCACACAAAATCACATGATTAGCACGGAGAACTGCTTCTCCTTCCACTGGTCGGCTTTTTCCATCTAAATAGAGCAAGATATCTGCCAAAAGAACATCTACAACAGGTGTTTTCGATGGAATATTGACAATTAATGTGGCTAATGGCACTAATGGGATTGAGTGAGGATTGAGTATTTTTTTGACCCAGTTTCGACGTGGCTTTGACATGGAACGATGAAAACCGAGCGCCACCTGGTAACATTGATTCCCGCGAATGGCACTTTTCCATAGCCACATCGGTTACCTGATCTTAATCTACTTGATTTATTTATTTGTGGATATCTTGAATGTTAAGTCTATAAAATACCTGTAAATATAAGGGATGAGCTTTTGAATGGAATTCCGAATTCTTACATCTGCACACGCCGTGAAAAATGGCAACGCAGATGTTTAGACAACTTTACAACGCTGGAGTTCAAGAGATACAGTGAAAACCATTTTTGATAATCTCTTTGTTCTCACTGATGTCATTGAGTATATAGAGCTTTTATTACCTCTGAAACGGTTGGAATGCATGTATATGTTTCAAAATGCGATTCTCTCTAGGACGGTACAAGATATCGATCAAAATGAAGTATTACATTTCTATTGATGGAAGATAAAGGAATCCAACGATGGAAGTAAAATGTGTCACCTGTATCAAAAATGCCTCCATTGAACCAAAATAATTCGTTCCATTCTATAATAGACATATTCACTGAAAAGCCGTTTACGTATGGAAAGGAGCATTAGTATGAGTTTATTCACCTGCCTGAACATCATTGATACCATGGCAATCGTTTGAAAGTTATTTGCGGTGGTGAAGGTCATAAGATAACGTAATGCGACCGTGGGAAACGGGAAAACATGTCTAACTTTCAATCTATGCCAAGAGTTAGGATGTTTTCCTGTAATTTTAAATGTCATCGCAAAGTCATCTGATGACTTTTGGCGACTGCGAATACTAGAAATTCATTCGTTGTATCCTAACTTCCAAGGTCAAATACTACGTAACGAAGCGCAATAGACATTTTTTTGAAGCACTACATATATAGAAAATTCATTGAGAATTCTCATTCTCTATGTGATGAAAATAGTAATTCGTTCTCGGTTTATTCAACAGAAAACAACTATTGCAAAGGGCTATTCTCAGATAAAATTATGAACATAAAAAAATGGATATATATTCATCAAGAAATACATTGAGAATTCCCATTCCTCATGTGATGAAAATATCAATTCTTTCTCCGTTTGTTCAACAGGAAACAACTACTTTCCTGGTTATATGCCACGACGAATATTGAATCATATCAATTGAGCACACACGATGAGAATTTGAAAACAAAATCTTCTGAAGTTGAGACTTTGCATCCTCCTTCAGATAAAAATATGTATATGCACATAATATCATTCAGAATAGTGAACAACAAAAACAAGAAAAAAGAACAACTACTTTTTTCCTGGCTATATGCCATAACGCATTATATCTATTGAACACTCACAATGAGAATTTGCGAATGAAATCTCCTGAAGTTGGGAATCTGCATTCTCTTTCAGATGAAATAAATATGTATTCAATATCATTCTAAATATTCAACACGTCGAACATTGAATTAAATAATTTGTTGAACATCCAAGAGGAGGATATGAAAATGAGAATCTTCTGAAATAGCAAAGTTGTTTCCATTCCGATTTCACATGTGTCACAACTTTTAACTTTCTCACAAAGAGAGAGAAACTCAAAGTCATTACCACATACTAGATCATAAAATGAACGACAATGGTAGATAACGAGAGAAAAACATCTACTTTCCTGGCTATATGCCACGCAGAACATTGGATTACATCCTCCCGAAATCTATGCGATAGTTCGTATAAACGAATAAAATCGCAAGTGTTTCCTTCCTGAACGCTGAGCAGCGCTCAAGTGGTTCAGGAACGCTGACTACCTGCAGACCGGTTTCGAGCTCTTGGCTCTCATCAGTAAAGGGCTGTCCCAGATAGCTTCTTGACCGCTATCTGGTGGCTTATGACTTATACCATACGAGGCGAGGCGAAATGAAAACGCGAACGCCGAACGCCACCTGGCAAGGAAAGAAACACTCCAAAACAAAATCCCATTTCAGGTGCAGGTAGTCAGCGTTCCTGAACCACTTAAGCGCTGCTCAGCGTTTAGGAAGGAAACACTTGCGATTTTATTCGTTTATACGAACTATCGCATAGATTTCGGGAGGATGTAATCCAATGTTTTGCGTGGCATATAGCCAGGAAAGTAGTTGTTTTTCTCTCGTTATCTACCATTGTCGTTCATTTTATGAACTAGTAGGTGGTAATGACTTTGAGTTTCTCTCTCTTTGTGACCATTGCATTCCACTTTGAGTTTGGCTTTTTCCCTAGTTTTACCTTTCTATTGCAACGTATAGTTTTTGATATTTTTTCATATAATTTTCTCGAAATGTTTGTGATATTGAAATAATTGTAACTTCGACAAAACTGCCATGAATTGTACGTTGTGGGCTTCCGAACTAAAGTATTTTCACCTCAAAAACAATCGTGTCCGTTTCAGGAATTCAGATATTTCAACTCGGCCAGACCGATCCAGTGGGTAGGAGGAAAACGGCCTAGAGCAGAGCCCAAATGTGGATTCTATGGACAAAAGTGCATATACAAAGTCGACTGGAAAATTGTGGCAAGCATGATTCTCGTATCGACAATCGTCATTGTTGGTATACTTTTTGCTGTCAAGTAAGATGACTTTTCATTGTTATTTTTTATGATGCTTATACAGGGTGTTTCTTGATGACATAATAATATTCAAGGATTCGATTCCTGGACTCAATTCAAGGATCCATGTCATATGTCGTCATCGTCTAACTTCTAGCTTTTCGTGATGAAAAAATTCAGTCTGCTATGTGACTAAAAGAGTGCAAAAATCTCAAGATATTACATGCATACTTGGTTATCCAGTAATGGATGTCCTGAATGGAGTACTCAGCTTCGTTTTTTCGAAAACAGAGCGTCCTATCAAGTATTAACAAACAATTGGCTGAATGTTATCACTTTTTCATTTGCCTTCGAGGTCCCAACAAATCATTTCAATAAATGCGATTGATTGAATCGAATAAAACAAATTATTTTTCTTAAAATTTGACACCCTGTATTCCAAAATTCAGGATGAGGATTGAGGAACACTCTGTATACTGTGCGACACATTCGAAATAGCCTCACACACACTCTTCATAGCCGGAGGACTATATATATTTCAGGTAGATTGAAAATCGTGAATGAAACTCCAAGTCATCTCCACAGCTTTCATTAAATGATCAAAGCTCATCGAAGGTAAATGTTTCGTGCTAATTTAAGCCCATCTTCACTCTTCAAGTAGTTAGAAGTTATGAAAGTAAAAAAACTCAACTTTGAACTACTTATCGGCTGATGATGGACTTATATAAGCCCGAAAAATGTACGTACCTCTAAGGATCTTTGATCATTTGATGAAATTTGTGACTTTGGGTTCTTCATCTATTAACTACACTACTCCACTTTGAGTGACCATGGACTTTTTCCATAGATTGAAAATGATCAATTATTTAAGCATACCAACTTCCAAGTTTTCAATCCAATTGCAAGTTGGAATACTTTCAATGTGTGGTTCACGTAAATCACCATGTATAGTACTAGGAGAAGGAAAGAACTAGCTCTACTTCTATTAGACGTTGATGATTTTAAATCGTTGCTACTCATTACTCATTGATCGCCGTTTTGATGTAAAATATTTCGATTTTCCTTTATATAAATAAATAGTTAAATGTGGTTTAAATGATCCTAATGAAGTAGAATATGTTTCATATATCGCTTATATCACAACTGTCGAGCTAGGAAAATGTTAGGTAGAAGTCCATGATATCTCAAAGTGGTGTGAATAAGAATCAGAAACAAAACACGACACTAAGTCATCTCCACAAATTTATTATCAGAATTATCTGAACATACCTATTTCGGACTATCGTTAGTCCTTCATCAGCAGTATGAATCAAGATATTCTACAAGTTTTCATTATAAAATTTGTACCTGAGGTTATGCAAGTACTCACGTGGAAAAGAAGAAAAAGGAGGCAACTGCAATATCATTAGTTATTTTATTTTATATCTGATAATATTGCCGTTGCCTCATTTTTGTCATTTCCACGTGAGTATTCACATAACCTGTGGTAAAAATTTTACTATAAAATACTTCTCTCTGTAGAAATTTTTTTATCCATACTGCTGATGATGGAATAAAGATAGTTCGAAACATGTTCAGATAATTCTGATAATAAACTTGTGGAGATGACTTGTCTTGTTTCTATGGAAATTTTGTATTTTTTTTCAGACATTATCGATACGAACAAAAATTGGCGTGCCTGTTATGGAAAATCGATATGAAAGATGTGATAATAATTCCCACAGAAACGACAGAACTGTCAAACGAAAACAAAAATATGGTAGGTATTTTCTGCTTTTTTCATGTAGGGTTGAAATTATTGTTGATATCAATTGCATATGAATGGTTACCATCTAGAAATTTATAGCCGTGGTCCCATGAAAGTCTACTGGTATGATAAAATAATTTTAATAATTCGAAGTATTGTTGCTGATCAGATGTAATCATTTTTTCATGAATAATTATGTTGAAAAAACTATTTCCAGAAATAGAGAAGTTTGGGGTAAAAGACCATCAAATTATTTCTCAAGCGATAAATATTTGACTGAGTTTGATGTGGTATGTAATTGTCAGAAGTTAGTGCAAAACAAATGAGTCAAAAAATAATTGAAAAAATTATGGTGGGAGATACCGAAAATACATGAAATATGTAATTGAAATTATGGGATTCTTTGGTTATGTTGGGAAAACCCTGTTAGCCCAGCTATCAGGGCAGAGAGAATAGATAGTATACAAACATTCAAACAGGATAACAAGATTGTGGGAGAAACCTTGGATTTCATTTTGCTCATGCTCCGCAAGCCACTGAAGTGAAGACAGGAAATCGTATGACCATGATGACAGGCAAGCTGACATTTCACAATTGACAGATGTCAATGGTTTCGACAAATGACATTCGACTGACATGAGAAGGGGCCAACCTACAACCTCAGAATGTATAGCTAGATGAAAAGGAAGAAGTCAATATTCATATGGCAATTATCGAGGCTAGCTGAAACAAGAATATAAGCAACTTACCCTACGAAATAAACTACTAATAATAATAATATATCCTTATCATGTCGAAACACGTCGATTCAAATTCTTTGGAACTTGGCATGAGAAGGAATTATCACAAATTTCTCATCATCTTTCCGTTTTCAATTCTACTGATTATGATGGCAACCTATTAAGAGACATAACTATTCAGACTTTTCTAGAAATCATTGTGGTATTTTTCAGAGAAAAAATCCATTCAAATTTCTTGTGACTTGGCATCAGAAGGAATTATCGCATATCTCTCATCAGCTTTCCTTCTCAGTTCTACCTTCTCTGTGACAGAAATCCTCATTAAGAATTTTCTATATATCATTGTGGTATTCAGCGCATATTTTCGAATTTGATCATTCAACCACAACATCTCCCGAACATCAATACGTCAATAAGAATTTGTGGAGGAGAAATATATTCCTGATTGTGAATTTATTGATTAGCTGAAACAACAGTTTTTCTAATAATAAATTATTTTTGCTATTCAAAATGCTGTTCTCAAACATCTATCATTCATCAGTATTTGTTATACGAGTCGATGCATGATTTCGGGAGGATGTAATTCAATGTTCTGCGTGGTATTAGCCATGAAAATAGTTGATTTTCTCCCGAAATCTACTGTTCATTTTTTGAACATTGCGGAATATAGCTTCGAGATTTTTTTATTCATTTAAGATTTCATTTCACTTTGAGCATTGCGGCTGTTTCGTAGTTGATCATCAATATCATTTGATCTTCGATTCCTCCTTATATCGATTGTAGATAAGAGTATGCAGACACAGCGTCTTCCATGCACCGACCAGCAGCATTGTAGATGTCTCTGAACAATCTCCCAAGCGAGCTTATACGACAATAGGGCTCTACAAAGGAAACATCGTCGCTATCAAGTATTTGCACAAACGTTCGGTGGATTTGACAAGGTCTATAAGGAAGGAATTGAAACAGGTGAGTATTTCCATGTATGAAGGTATGTCAACACTCAGTATGAGGTATCATCAGTGACAGTGACGCTTTCGAAAAACACCCTGTGTAGTATTCCCAGCGAGCACAAACATCCCTGGGATGTTTTGGGATGTTTTGAAAATGTTGGCATGAAGATGTTATTTTGAGACGTAATATGCACTGACCAAAGAAGTCTTTGAAGGATATTGAAGTATTGTTTTTGTTCTTCTGTGGCATTTCTTTGTTTGCCTACTGAGAGGCATCCCTGGGATGTTTTGGGATGTTTTAGAAATGTAGGCATGAGAATGTTTTTTCGAGGCGTAATATGCACTTACCAAAGGAGGTCTTTGAAGGATATTGAAAGTATTGTTTTTGTTCTTTTGTGCCCTTTCTTTGTTTGCCCCACCACAACGTCTCATGCTTACGTCACAATACGATGAATTCTGATTTGTTTTCGATTTTGTTCTTCTTGTTCGCAATTGGCATTCACGTTTGCAGCGTGTCACACTTACATCACGCTGCTAACGAACAGAAAGGAATTTGGTGAAGTTTATTGTGTAAGAAGACTTACCTATTTAGTTTGTAATAATGACCATCAGATATAAAAGTACGAATTCATCAATACACATCTTCTCCGCAGTTGCAAAATTATGCATTGTGGAGAACATTTCAAAAATTGGGAAACCTATTTCCAATTATATGTCTGTGTGTAGTAAGCACTACTCAGAAACCGATTATGAAAGGTAATTTCATATCAAGAAAATATTTTTATGTTCAATCTATTTTTAATGTATTTTTTCATTCAAGGGAAATGGAATCCTAATGCAAAAGTTCATTTTGACAAAAGGCTTCAGTAAAGTACCTCGAAAATGGTTTTTTACAGCGATTCAATGTGCGCAAGACGCGTTGAGAATGTTCTGTTGTGTCCATGAAGAGGATTTGAAAAGAACTAGGGAGAAGGTAGTTTTGTGACATACCAAGGACATCTCGATAATTGCCGCCTGCGGCGGACATTGGCTGTTCTATAATAGTTCTATTTATGTGTGAACAGAACATCGCAGTGGAGGTTCAATGTCTCGAAATCTCGTACTTTCAACATCTCTGAGATGTTTTTGTGCTCGCTGGGTTGTGTGTGGGTAGATGCAGATACACCTCCCTGAAAGTAATCCTGGCGACGCCTATGTAATCGATATGGATTATGCCCCTTCATGTGCTTGAATTACAGTATCCAAACACCGTGTTACGACTAGATCAAATTTCTCAAGCAGTCTTGAGGAACTGTGTCAAATTCTTTATGAAGGCCTAGGTGCTGAAGAGTTTCTGACAAGGCCAGACGAAGGCGAATGATCCTCTGGAGTTCATTGTAATGCTCCCAACTTTCTTCGTTTCGATCAACGGGTTCGTGATTATTGAGGCAGGAGGCAGACTGAGTTTGTAGACATTAAGACAACATAAATAGATAGTTACTGAGACATATATTCAGACAGAATGGTCAGGCAGAGGTTACAGGCAACAAAATCAAAGTTTGCTTACATTTTAGATTACACATTTTTGTTACACTGTTCACTTGGCGAGAGATTCACTTCACTTCTACGTCTTAGTCACAAAAGTTGCAGTTTACAATAAATCTACCTGAGTGGTTACTTACACAGGTATTATTAACGAAGTTCACTGGTACTGTTCGAACGTATAGCATGTTTGATAGACAGATACAAAGTCGGCTGGATGGATACGTTTTGTATTGAGTCACGTTTAAGACTTAACATTTCACATTCTGGTCAATAGATTCAATGATTGCACTTCAAAAATTATTCCCGAGGCTCACTAACAAACTTTTCAACTAACACAACGGAGATCGAGACATATCGTATTGGAGACTGATAAAGACTGCTTCAAGAATAACTTCAGACTGTCTTCTCTCATTCGGATTGTTTCTGTTTTTATACAGAATTTAGCAATAAATTTTGGGAGAATCAATTAAATATAAGCCAAGCTCTATGTTGTGTTTATATTAGGCAAGATTTTTCGTAGATTTTTGAGCGATAAATTACAGATGTTAGGATTAATTTGCGAAACTAAAAAGATTTCGTTGTAGTTCTGAATTGTTATGACGATAAATAATTTGGAGCTTCAACTCATACTCTTGATGTTAATGAAACTGTCACTTACTATAGTTTTCCATTAACTCTTTTTCAAGTAATAATTCAATGTGGTTTATGATTCTCATTAATTTGTCTTGACTTCAATTTGCACAAGTGAGATGATTTCGATGTAACTCTCTAATGTTCCTTTACGTATTTGGGCTAAATAATAATTTATTGATCTTTCGAGCCAATCAGATTAAAGTCAGTCCCTCTTTATTGAACTTATAAATTCTCTGCAAATTCTAATCAACGTCATTTTTGTCTCTCAATTCGGTCCTGTGATATCAACCTGCTTCGTTCTTAAGTGACCAGTGAATTCATTTGACAAAGGAACGTACCTACTTATTCTATACATTTATTTATGGTAATGATGCTGCACTCAATTCAAAATGAACATTCGTCCGTTCACGTTATAATATTGCCTAGTAGACGCATGATAAAAGTTATTCTTATTTAAGACAATTATTGTTCACTGTACTTAGTTCAAAAGAATTCAGAAATCCACATTATTTTGTCTAAGATACCCGTTCATTACATCATCCCAAAGATGCTCAATAGGCTCTGAATTAGGTATTGTTAATGAAAATAACAAAACTCCATGCTTTCTTTGAACAATATTTGTATCTCCTCTTATAAAGGAGATATTGACGTGAATCTACAGTCCTGCATCTCACCTCCCGTCTCTTCTATAGCTCAGTTATCAGTTGAGTCAGGATTTTTATATTTTGCAGACTGCAATTGTATCATAGGGCGCATACCAGGAGAATAATTCCGATGGTACAGGGTGTCCCAAAACCGTGTGACGTCATGATGATATATTTTTTTAAATGACATACCATATAGTTTGTTGCACATTTGATTGCTTCTACTGGTTTTCTACATACTCCTGGAATCTGATTGAAATCGTTCCAGTGATATTCACGTAAAAAGAATGTAACAAGAGAATTCAATCTTGCACCACTAGTCAAAAACATTAATAACAAAAAAGAGAGTGCCTTCTCAATAGAATCATAGGACATACATATCAAATAATGCCTAAGAGGATCGCTAATCGAGTTTGATTGACACGAATCATCACAGGATGTGCAAAATTTAGTGTCAAACTTTTCGAATTTCAAAGCACTTTATTCTTCTAATTTCGAATATGAACCCCTGTATATTATTTTCATGACATTCAATGCGTGAATAGAAACCAAACTTTTTTTCTTTCTACAACCCTATCGAAATTCTCATCATAACAAAAGTTATTTGCCGAAAACTCGTTTCATCAACTATTCTTATAGTCATAACGGAATTTGGTCGAAAATTCATCAGAATCGAAAAAGAATTGAAAAAAATACAGAGTGATCAATTTAGCAAAATTTTCTGTTTGCTGGCTTTTCATGCCGGTGAGTGTATTACACCTATTAGATATGTAAGGTTACAAGAGGTGAACTCCCATGTTCTGTAGTTCCAAACAGTTGAATATTCTGCCCTACTGGTTTCTAATTAGTTATTTTTTACTCCTTTGATTTCCGTTGGTCAATCATCTCAATATTATCCAAATTTGTTCCAAAGAAACGCCACGAGGGCGAGACGTAGGTATTTTTTCTACGGCTATAAAACAAAATTGCTCTTGTTTTACTGTCGATGTTGATGTGGTACTTTGTATGTCCTCAATCTAACTTCCGTATCTGATATCACCATGACTCCATTGTGCAATGTCTAAAAAATGAGCAAGAGGGAAGATATTTCGCTATTATCTATGTTATAGCCGTAGAAAAAGTATGGTTGTTAACTCGCACGGAATGCTGATTTACCACTGAAATGACTATCATTTCGTGCTCGTTAAACAATATACTATTTCCTGGCAATTTTTGACATCTATATATGAGCAATATATTTCCAGAATGGTTCCTCTCAACAGCATCTATTGACAAATACTGTCTGTAGGTTAATCGAGGAGGTGGTACATTCATTATTCAAAATTTTTTGGGATTTTCTCTCCTCGTTTCTATAGAATAAAGATATGAATATTATTTCAATATACGTGTAGTAAGGACCAATCAGATGATTTGCCCTAAAATGTCACTGCGTTTAAAGAATTTTCCTATCAGAGAGCCAAAACGAAAAATTCACTAGCTTGTTAGTGACAATTTGTATTGAAAAAAGTTTGAAGATGAAAAATGAAGGTATATAGAAAAATATCAAATCTAAGGATATATTATTAACCATACCACAGTTTTTTCCTGGAAAATATCTTCATAGCGAATAGAAAACATCCTTAACCCACTCAAACGACATAGATATCATTAGCTATACCACATTATTTCTAGAAAATTGTCTTCATAGCAAAAAGACAATATCCTTAACTTTTTTCGAAGAGTTTATACCTATTCGAAGCACATTCTTGGTCTTGAGATAGAATATCAAAGAGCCGTCAATGATATCTTTGTTGACACTCACTTGCATGAAAAATGAACCATGCCCTCCGAATTTTCATTATGGATGGATCATTTTCTTCACCCAAATAAAATGAACAAAATCACATTCTGTTAAAAGAACCCACAATATATTTGTTTTAGGAACATAATAAAAATTGGTTTTGTTTATCTTATTCCTTCAATTTCCTTCTCTGACTGAAAAAAATCTTCGATCGGACACATTACTCATTGATAGTGAAATACACTCCCCGACAATAAATTCCGGACAGTGAAATTTTTAGCAAAATTGTTCGCCCTGTAACTTTTCGTAATTCTCTTCCGATCTGGATGAAATTTCGACCAAAGCGTTTCGCAAAATCAGCCTGATATTTTGTTCCGAGAAACATTTATTGTCCTAATCATTATACAGGGAAAAATGACTTTTTTACCCTCAACTTCTTAACGCCCTGTGGCAAAAGTGAGCAATTTAATTCAATTTCATTATGTTCAGTATTGAAGTGTAATTCCTTCTTAACAAAACGGTACTTGAATCACGTCGATATCTTCTCTTGAAGAGAAGATGCAAGTGTTTCCAGAAAATATGGCATCTTTTATATTCATCAACAATTATTCAGTACTTACAAAAACATTATATAACAACTGGAAATGGAATACAAACAACTAAAAATCAATACCACGTATTGCCACCGCGTTTTCTTAGTACTTCCTCTATGCGACGAGGCATACTCTCAATGCAGTTGTCGATGACCTCTTGCGGAATATTTTCCCATTCTTCTAGGAGAGCTGTCCGCAAATCCGGTAATGTTTCTGGGTGGCGATTGCGAACACGTCTACCCAGCATGTCTCAAACGTGCTCAATAGCATTCAGGTCGGGACTACGCGGAGGCCACTCTAATCGCCGAATATTTACCTCGTCCAAGTATTCTGTCACGATTCGCGCAACATGAGGCCTGGCATTATCTTGCATTGAAATAAAGTTATGCCCAACAAAGCCGGCAAAGGGTACCACATGTTCAGCTAAACATTGTCGGATGTAACGATCAGCAGTTAAAGAACCATTTTCTATGAGCACCAGGTTAGTACGAGCATTTGATGATACTCCTCCCCATACCATGATACTACCGCCTCCAAATGGCGTCCTTGGAGATATGCAACTCTGACCAAATCGTTCATCCGGCCTCCTCCAGACACGTTCACGTCCGTGAATAACACATTCGCCCAGTCTTGGGCTCTCCAGTAGCTATGTTCACGAGCAAAATTAAAACGCCCTGTGTGATGTGCAGGAAGTAACAGAGGACATGCAGCGGGTCTTCTGGACATTAATCCTCTTTCTTTCAATCTACGCTGAATGGTTCGTTCAGAAACTGTTGTACCTCGTACATCTCGTATTCTATGACTTATAACTGTAGTTGGTGTGCCACGATCTCGTAACGCTGTTAGATTGAAATGGTCATCCCGTTGATTGGTGGTCTACCTGATCCCCTAGTCTGACGAAACCGACTAATCGCATCTTGTACAGTACTTTTCACTGTGCCTAAGTATTCTGCAATATACCGTATACTACGACCATCATCATTCAAGGCAACAGCACGTGCAACATCCTCGGACTCTCTTCAACACACATAAAAATACAGTTTATTATGGAATAGCAGAATACTGACACTTTGTTAAACAATACTTTCAATGTAACTACGCAACCAAAGACCAGTGTGATGAATGAGTCCACGTAGGTTGTGGAATATTGTTGATAAAAATTAGAAAATGCCATACTTCCTTGAAACCTTTGTATCTTCTCTTGAAGAGAAGATATTGAAGTGAATCAAAGAACAGATGTATTGAGAAGGAATCACACTTCAATACTAAACATAAATTTTAATAGCTCACTTTTACCACAGGGTGTTAAGAAGTTGAGGGTAAAAAAAGTACTTTTACTTACGATGTTTTTCGGAACAAAATATCAGGCTGATTTTGCGAAATATGATACTACGCTTTGGTAGGAATTTCATCGAAATCGGAAGAGGATTACGAAAGTTACAGGGCGAACACTTTTGCTAAAAATTTCACTGTCCGGAATTTATTGTCGGGGAGTGTAGTTTTGTTTATCTAATTTCTTCAATTTCCTTTTCTGACTGAAATAAATCTTCAAGTAGACAAATTACTCATTGATAGTGAAATATTATGTTTCCATTAACAGATACGTGAAGTACGTCATGAAAATCTAATTCCATTCATCGGAGCAAGCGTTGACCATGGAAATGTTGCCATATTGACGGCATATTCTGCAAGAGGAAGCCTCGAAGATGTATTAAAGAATAAGGATCTCAATTTGGACAACATGTTTGTTTCATCACTGGTCACTGATATTTTGAAGGTGAGTGTAGCGTGAAACACATTCATATTACCATCATTATCCAATATAGGTACACCATTTTTTATTATTTTGATCATAGCTCATCTACCTAGGTGAATTCCGGAAATTATTGCACAGTATTTGGTATCGAATAAACATTTGCAATGGGCGAGTGGACTAATATTGAATTATTGCCATTCGATCACTCCACCGTGTCGTTAGGGACCTGAATGAATTTTCGCACAATTCTCACGCTTTTTTTTAGGTAAATGATATAAGTCTGTTGTTCGCAATTGTTGAATTTCAGAGCTTTTCATCTATTGGAAATGCACTGAAAATACGTCAATCAGTCATCACTGGGCCAACAATGAATAAGCAATTAATAGAAGTACTGCTACGTTAATATTGGCGTTAAGTCGGCCAGTGGGCATCTTTTGTGTTACACCATTGAAAAATGCCAATATTAGGCCAATGATAGTTCACTAGGGTGACATTGCTCTGGAAGTAATGCCCAATGTATCAATGTTTGCTGGGTAGTTGAGGTAATAGTGTAATTCATGTAAATAATTCAAACGATCACAAGTGAATATGTACTTTTATAAGTACTTAATATCTCGATATTCTGGATATTCTAAATAATTCTGTCGCAGAATTATGAGAAGATATTCAGAACATAGTGGTTTTTTGCTTTACTTTTTCAATTTCACGTTGCATAAAAAGCATTTTTCATAGATGAGTGATTCATCCTGACAAGTACAGTCATGATTATTTTATGCCAAACTGACAGACTTTGCTTCGCTATCCATGATTACATCCAGACTTTGCTTCGCTATCCATGGTTACATCGTTGTGATGAGTGAAATAGTCAGTATATCAGCACACGATTTTTGTACCCAATTACCACAGAGACCTTTGGCAGAATGGGAGGCAGTAAAAACCTGCCCATCAGGAATTTGCAGCAAATACCAGCCCATATGCGAAGAAACCTCTTCACGAATCTTCCCGACAAATGGAAGCTGGAAGCGTTTCGAAAATTCTACGAGAAAACAGGGTACCACCTCAATGACTTTGAAAAATGGAGCGACTTCAAAGTCTGCAAGTCACCCAAAATCACGAACATCAAGCTGAATAACACGCAGCACAAGGTCATTGTGATGGATATCCTCACGGAGATAGAAACCCTCGCCAAACCAGAAAACATTCCTCTGTCATTGTGGATGATGACAGGGCAAATGTACCCCAAAATTAGTTTCGAGGCTAGAACCCAGCTGATACAAGAAAAAATGAAGCAGAATATTATAGAGGGGTTGCAACCTGACAATTATGACATCGTCAATAGATCATTTTCGAGCATAGAAGACTTCTTATCATCTAGAGCGTCGACTATCCCCAATCGACTAAGCACCACCCCCACCCAGGAGGAGGAGAAGCGTGTAAATGCAAACACAAGGAATGTCAAACTAACCATCCCCCCACGAGATGCAGTAACCACTCACCGATCACCCCCTCCATCCCCTTTTCCTCCCTCACGGAACGAGGTGAACGAGGAAACTCAGGAAGATAGAGATGCGAGGATGAGAGGGTCTGCTCATAAAGCCAACTCTCCAACCTCCTCCCCCACCCACCTGGAAATAAGCATGGCTGTAACCAGAACGCTAAGGACCAGGAACCCTAGAAGAACATACACACCTGAAAACCAAGATCGACCCAGATCCCCGAGGCTAATCGGGGATTTTGTGGAGGAGGCGGTGTTAGTTACCCCCTCTGTAAACTCCAAGATCACTACACAACCCCTTGTTGAGGAAATCCCTGCTATGCCGGCTCACTTCAATTTGGCATATGCAGAGGGACTGAGGAGTTTGCAGAGTGAGGAGAGAAATAACAGCCTTATGGAGGTGGAACTGCATCCGATGGGGCGATTACTGGAGAAAAGGAGGAGATCGAACGACCCCCTACCAGATACGGAAGAGAACCAGAGTGGAGCTACCACCAAGCAGGCCAAAGACAATGATGGCTTTATCATCCCAAAGAAAAGCAGCAAATGGTCGGAGATGATCAAGCAGAGGTGCGAAATAAAACCAGTTGAGACGGCTAATAGGTTCAACCCCATCTCCGACCAGGCCCAGCCTGGCCCTTCTGGGACTAGTGGAATCAAAGAGACCCGCCCCACTCCCCCTATTAGCAGTAGCTGTTCCTCCTCCGAGGATGAAGAGGAGCAGGTACTAATTACAAAGAGCAACCCCAAGAAAAATAAGGCAAACAAAAATAACAAAACACAAAAACTAAATAAAAATAACCCAAAAACCAAACAAAATAATACTAATCAACCTAAGAAGAACTAGAAGCCTCCTCCCATTGTCATACAAGGGATAATCACAGACAGGAGGAGGTTTCTAGAAGAAATCAGATCCACAGCAGAAAAAACAGTTTTCTTTAAATACGGACACAATTCCACTTTGCTCTATGCGGAAAATGAAGAGGACTATGTAAAGCTGCGGGATAAGTTCAAGACTGAAAGTGTCCCTTTTCACACCTATACGCAAAGAAAAGATAAGTCTCACGCATTCGTGGTGCGAGGACTGGACTTCGAGCCTGAGGCCTCTGAAGTCACAACATACTTACTGGAACAACATCAAATAGTGGCCAAGGAAGTCTTCAGGCTTCGGACAAGGTTTAGGCCCCTTTACCTTGTCGTTGTTGACCCGAAATACACTCTACAACTTCTCAACAATAAAGCTAAATACATACTATCAACAAAAATTTCGTGGGAGATGCGACGCAATAATCGCGAGATCTCACAGTGCAGGCGGTGCCAGGTGTGGGGACATGCCACCAGCAACTGTTTCAGACCACCTAGGTGCCTGAAATGCGCTGGTGGCCACCTCACGTCGGCCTGTAGTTTGCACAACTCGCAGCCTGCGAGATGTGCGAACTGCGGGAACGATCACCCTGCGAACAGCACGGATTGTGAGATCTATAAAAAGAAAATAGCTATACTTCATCAAAGTCGGGTCAATAGGCCTGGTAGAGGTGGTTACACCCCCGCCCCTCCCCCCACCAGGAATGCGTGGGAACAACGTAGAGAGGCCCGGCAGCCAACCGTAGCAGCAGAGATGGATAGAAGTGACCCACTTTCTCAAACCAGCTCCCAGAGGCCGGCAACGAGTGCGCAGGGGACTGGGACTAACACCGAGATGATGGGGGTGATGGCTGAGCTGCGGACTCTTAGTCAACAAGTCAATTTGGGTGAGTTGTTTAGGGCGCTGCGAGATTTGAATACGAGGATTGCTGCATCCAACAAAAACCCCATGGACATCTTGATGATATTCCAGGAGTTCGCTGAAAATATAGCAAGTTACCGAATTAACAATTAGCGTGGCTCTCAAGATGTGCAATTTTAACGCAAATGGCATCAGTAACAAGATGCCATCTTTTGTTGATTTTGTACAGAGATACCATCTTGATATCATCTTCTTATCGGAAACCAAACTCCGACAGGAGCATAATTTTCGTGTGAAGGGTTTTGCTATCACTAGGGTTGACCGGCCTGGCGCAGACAGATATGGAGGGGTGGCTATCCTGGTCAGGAATAACATCCCCCACTCTGTGGTTCCGCCGAGACTCTGTTCTATAGAGCACGTCGGAGTGAGACTACATAGTGGGGAGGTACTTTTTTCGGTATACAACAGCCCCAGGAACAACTTCACTGAGCACGACCTCGAGGCTCTGTGTAGTGCTGGGAATAAAGTCATAATTGCAGGCGACCTGAATGCGAGGCATGCAGATTGGGGAAATCACGCCGACAATACAAATGGACGTACCTTGAGGAGGTTCGGCATGGCTGCCAATGTCAACATAGAGGCTCCTAGCTCTCCCACTCATCTTCCCTTCAACGGAACGTCACCGACGATAATTGACCTGGTAGTGACAAAAAACGTTGTGGATGTCGCCAGAATCAAAACAGTGGATGAGATGAGCTCTGATCATCTTCCAGTGCTATTTGAATCGGGAGTAAAAGCCCCCGAAATCAAAAAATCAATTTTTGACTACCGAAACACAGACTGGAGGATGTTTAGAGCTCATTTGAATGAGAAAACAATAATTAGGGCAAACATCCCTCTGGATGAGATTGATGAAGAAGTGAAAACCCTCATCAAGATCATCCAGGAGGCCAGAGCGGTATCCACTCGTAAGGTCACTATCAGCTCCACCAGGGACCACCTTCCTGGAGATATTCTTGACCTCATTGCACTGAAGAAGCGTGCCAGGCGAACCTGGCAGCGCCTGAGGACGGCCGAGTCTCGAAATGAGTTTAAGAGACTCGGCAATCTTGTAGACGTGAGGATCCGTGAGGTCAGGAATGCAGCCTGGAGGGCCAAGGTGGAGAACTTGAGTCCTCGGGACAATTCTCTGTGGAAAATGACGAAGGGACTTCGCAAGAAAGCCCAAATCGTCCCTACCCTAGAGAATCGTTCCGGAGACGCGGTGACAGATCCGCAGAAAGTAGAAATGCTTGGGAGGCATTTCGAAAGCATAAATCAAATTGATAAAAATCCTATAAACGACCAAAAGGCTGAGATTTTGAGGTTGGCAGCACGATATCGAACCATACCTAGTATTCCTTTGTCCCGTCGAGTCCTGGGAAGATTCCTCACTACTCCCAGAATTGTAATGCAAGATATCAAACGGATGAACATCAACAAAGCACCAGGACTCGACGGTGTCGATGTGATTTTGCTGAAAAACATGCCTCGTAAGACGGTTGTTCAATTGCACTATATAATTAATTCTATTATTAGGCACCAGTACTACCCAGAGTCTCTCAAGACTGGAGTTGTTGTACCTATATTGAAATCAAGGAAAGATCCCAAGCAACCAGGTAGTTACCGCCCTATCTCTTTGCTCAGCATGGTGGCCAGAGTGATAGATAAGACAATTCTTCGTATGGTTGACACTCTTGCAGAAGACCTGAGTGTGATCCCTCCTGAACAATTCGGGTTCCGAAAGGGACATAGCACAACGTCTCAAGTAGCCCGAATAGTCCACGGGATCAAAGAAGCCTTCAGCCGAGATGAGAACACAGTTATGGTCCTGATGGATATTGAAAAAGCATTTGACACCGTTTGGCATGAGGGGCTGATATGCAAGCTGGCGTCTGCAGGGATGCCCATGTTCATTGTTAAATTGATAGATTCGTATTTATCCCGTCGAACAATAAGAGTCAAACTCAATAATTCATTATCGCGAGAATTCCCACTCGAGGCAGGGGTTCCACAGGGGTCGTGCGTTTCACCTCTGCTGTACTCATTATATACGTACGACCTTCCTGTGTCCGAAAGTACGAGTACCGCATTGTACGCAGATGATACTGCTATCTATGCACACTCGTACTTCTCGGACGTCGCCAGGGCACAGATCCAGCACCACCTGGACAGAAGGGTCGTACCGTACTTTGACAATGCAAAGATCCGGATAAATCATGCGAAAACTGAGATAATCAATTTTTCAAGGAAATATACCAACAATACGCTATTCCGACCTTTGCGTGTCAAAGACACTGAGGTGGAGGGCAAAGCTGTTGTGAAATACCTGGGGGTAGCTCTGGACAGGCGTATGAACTTCTTCGCAAATACAGAGTACTTATTGGCAAAGGCCAATGCTGCAATCAGGAGCTTGTATCCGCTGTTAGCGAGGAATTCCTCGCTGACTATGGACAACAAGCTCCTGATATACAAACAGATCATACGTCCTACTCTAACATACGCCTGTCCGGTGTTCTGTAGTATTTCGCCTACCCATATGGGTAAGTTACAAATACTACAGAATAAGGTACTTCGTATAATTACAAACGGTAATAGGTACTCTCGAGTGGCAGATATGCATGCACAGTGCACAGTGCTATGATCTGCCCCTAATAAAGGACTATATCCTTAAATTATCGGATAAATTCTACTCGTACCACATACGAAACAGCTCCCTAACAGATGGTATTACGTCAATTAGGGCAGATCATGGCCAACGCAGAAAGCACGGGATGATTTACGAAGCTTGTAGTATTTTCAGAGAACCCCTGGAATAACCACCCACCTTCCCAATCCATCCCAACAGATTGAAAGCACTCCCTTACAAACAAATTTCACGACTCGAAGGTGGTTTGGTCGGCCCCAGGACTGAACGCTCTGGTCCGACTGTACGACCTCCGAGTGTCTACACATATTGCCCGTAGCTGGGCATAGTAAGCGCATTCCTGTTGGCACCGACCAACAGATATACATCTAGATTCAATCTGCATAATCTATGTGCTAAATCTCAGTCTGTTGATCCCTTTTTATCCCACAAAACCCATCCTAACCCTCATCCTTCCCTACTCCCCTCGACATAAATACAAATCGAACTGTCAGAATGTGGTTTTTGGTTTTTCTTTAATTTTCCACAAACAAATTAACGACAAATTATAGAGTTCATGATAGCGCAATCCAAACATTCGAATTTTCGCTCGCACTGAGCAGCTCGCCCTATCAGCTATGGAAAGGACCATGTCCTAGGACGTAGCTCGGACATCTTCCTCAACACACTTGATTAATAAAATCCGCCCCCCACTGCGCCACTCGTGGCCAACCTCTGGGAACCGATAGAGGTCTACCCGGAGGGCTTTTAATATGTATATTTATTTGTATCGTTTTGTGCGTTCCATATATTTTATACATGTTAAATATTAAGGATTTTATTTATATTGAGTGTATGTCTGTAAAAGTTAAATATTCAAATAAATGGATTTAAATGGTCTTTGTCTTTCTGTCATCAGTACAACCGAAATGCTTCTTCTGCTAGCCTACGATAAATTCTTGGAATCTGGAAGATTTCCTATTGCTCAACATAATCATAATGTTTCATTCAGCAGTGGGGTCAGTCTATTACCCCACTGCCAGCCAGCATTTCCCCGACACGACCGGTCACCATAACCCCAATCAACATTTTTTTCAATGAAAAAAAAACTTATTGTTACTAGAGCTACTTATTGTTTATAATATTGCAGTATAAGGTATATGACATACATTTTCTGGTGTGTATCTCAAAATGTTCGTCTTCTTCAACAATATCTCACACGTTATATATATAAATTAGTAAGTTAATTAGTAAAAACAGTTTCACTTGTATTCAGTTGATTTCTTCTCAACTAAATGGAATATTCAATTGTTGATGAAGAAAACAATAATTTTGGCTTAACAAGTAAAGATAGGCGAACTGTTGGGTGGCTGGTATTATCCCAGTGGACACCATTCCCCCGGTTTCCCTAACTAACAGTTAACAGTTATTCACAATACCACGATCTCATGATCTTATCTGGTTCACATCATAATAAAAAGTTTTGAAGTTTGATATGGTTTTTTCCTTTCAGGGAATGATCTATCTTCATGACAGCGAAATCATTTCTCATGGCAATCTAAGAAGTAGTAATTGTTTGATAGACAGTCGATGGGTTTTGCAAATATCTGACTTCGGACTACACGAATTCAAAAGTAAGTGATCTTCTTCAGTTGATTAGTGAAAGCATAGATACACTCGTCTTCAGTTAACATGTCGCGGTTGGTTGGACGGTATGAGCGTTCTCATGTGCGACATGATCTCTGACTCTACGTACTATTCTGGTAAGTGAGCACATCATCGGACTATCGAATCCGAGCGAGGTCCATCAGTCCAGAGTGTACTAAATGATATGTAGGTATTGTAATTAACTCCACACCTCGGAAGGACAGAAACTGTTCAATAATTGTTCGATGAACTAAGAAACCAAACACAATGGAATGACAGTTGACTGGGTTCTAAGCCAGAGAGCAGATGAACCATTGTGAGCTGTATGATCAGTTTTTGCATGAAACATGGGTCCTGAATCGCCAAGAGGTTTCTCTCTCCCAGCAATAAAAGTATTTTCCCGAAGGGATCATTACCACAGCATGAAACAAGAACCTTTCCAGATGAAAGAGGCCTCACAGGGTATCCTTGGAGTCTTGATAATGTGTATTTTTGTATCAACACCCACTTGAGATAATGAGAAATGATGGAATTTGCAAGTGAAGGACTATCACAGCGAACCTTTCTAGATGAAAGAGGTCCCAGGGTATAAACAGTCACTTGTTGTAATATAGGTATTTTGAGCTCTAGGCTGTTACGGCTCGATCGCTGTGGTAAGATTTCCTCTTGTCCCTGCTGAAGTTTGTCCGTAAATATTCAATCTTTCTGCTTGTTATCTCTGGTATGTTCCCTGTGTTTATGTGTTAATTCTTGAGGAAGTGACTTTCAAGTGAGAGCTGGGCTCTATCTTTGCACCTCTCCTGTGAAGCTGTCATTTGGATTCTCCAAGGCATTTGATCCCACTGCTGGAGTCTCATCGATGTTTTCCCTAAAGTTCCTGGATCTGTATTTTCAGCTTATTATATTTCCTTGTTCTAGGTGATCAGATTTTTTGTTTACATTTCCAAATCTCCGCTTTGCTTCACCATATCAACGATTCTGCGCATTAATTCGAAATAATATGTTTCAATTCTCAAGAAGATTAGAATATTTTTGGTAATCATCATTCAACTTCTGAGGAAAAATATCAATGTTTATGTTGGGGAAAATCTTGAGTAGTTTTGTTTTCGAAATTTCACTTAATCAGAACCATTTTTTCAGCCAATCAAGATGATCCAGACTGGAAAGCGAAAGAAACTAAGAGATTGGTGTATAGAGCACCAGAATTACTGAGAGACCCTTCACCACCGGCAAGAGGAACCCAAAAGGGAGACGTTTACTCTTTTGCTGTTGTTTTATATGAAATCATTGGAAAGGAAGGTCCTTGGGGAAACATCAATATGGAACCATCAGGTATCTTACTAGGGAACACCCTTCGTCTGAATTATTTTTTGAATTGACTCGGCCGTTGATATACCCCTTCAGTATTCTTTCGAATCCCATTGATACCTCTATTCGAACATCCATACCTTTTTATGCTATGAAAATATTCAAGACATCTAGAGTTATATGACACTCATTATTCTGAAATTCACTGTCAAAAAGTTCAGGACTTTGATACTTGAGAGCACTTGAGAGGACACTTATTTCTCAGAGTAGATAATAGTACATTATACACCTAGGGAATGAATTGGTATTTTATATCCCTAGACAAAGAGTTTATAGCCCGACCAACGAAAGGGCTATAATTCGTCGAGAGATTTAAAACAATTCTGAGAAGATGTCCCAAGCTGAATAAAAAAGTTGCAAATATAATTCTATATTCTCATATACTCAGTCGTATTAACTATTTGATAAATGTTTGGGGATACTGTTCAAAAAACAATTTTAATAAAATATCTGCATTATATAAAAAGACATTGAAAGTACTGTATCGTTTACCATATGATACACCAACAAATCAATTATATAAAATAACTGAATCATTCTCATTAGAAGAAATGTTCAAAATCGAAAGACTGAAAATTACATACAATATCATAAATAAAAGATTGAAATCTAATTTTATTTTAACACGAAACAATGAAATTCATAATTATCAAACTAGACAACATGGTTTATTTCATCTTGATATCGCTAAAATACTTCTATAGGCCAAAAAAGATTCACCCACGCTGCTCTCTTGGAATTTAACAAATTACCAGATAATATAAAAAATTGCAGAAATACAATAAAATTCAAATACCATCTTAAAAAATTTATCATTTCTGAACGAAATAGATGACTTTTTTTTTTTTTTTTTTTTTCCAACTTTTGATTCATATTCAAATTGATTTTTGCTCACCAATATGAAATGATTTGTCAAAATTTAATGATTAATGTTTTCAAATATTTTATTATTCATCAGTTTATTATAATTGTATAGTTTTAGGTATTATTGTTAACTATACTTCCTTATACCAGAACTTGATTCTGACTGGAAGTAACATTTTCAATAAATAAATAAATAAATAAATATACTATTTCATGCACTTCTGTTTTATCTTTACTGTATAATAGTTTGATAAATTGAATATCTTCAGGATAGGTAAAACGTTCAAGAAAAAAAAATTCAAATGCTACTAAACGGTAGTTACTCTATTTCCAAAACATCATCGGAGGGGTTAATTGTTACCATATCAACCTCAGTAACTATGGTGATCCAGATCATGATTGTCACCGGCAACTGAAAATCTTTGTGTGTTATGACAAGTAACTAAGTGAAACACGAATAAATAAATATTTGTCAAACACACCACACCGATTGAAAGACGTTGATCGCGATGGAACAAATCGAAAAGGCAGCTCAAGAAGCTGAAGCTGAAATTTGGAGAACAATATTAGAAAAAGTCATCTGAGTTAATCAAATGGTGCAAGGAACAGAACGTAGAAGAATGTACAGATGGAAAGGTACTGCTATCATATTTCATGGAAAAGTTGAAAAAGCTTAAAGCATCGTCATTTTGGAGCGTATATTCGATGATAGAAGCCACAATTGCAACAGACATATTGAAAATACATTTCTAGATTGAAATTTCACAGCAGAAAAATTCACTTCAAATCTCTAGGGATTAAAAGTGACTCTAAATTCCTAGGGATTCAAAGTACCACTTTCTTTCCCGAAAATAGGGAATGAAGGTACCCTTCAACTCTCTTGAGTGCATAAAATCATTTCCTGACGTGTATGAAAATGCTATTCTCGAAAATCGATAACAATAGCAACTTTGAACTATACCTTTGAGTATTCAACTAGTGTATATAATCAAGGACTATACTTCACTTTCTCAAAGAGGTACGAGTCAGCTTTTCAGTTGGTATGCAGTGGGTTTTCCGTCACATCTCTATAAGACTTTCGTTCAAACCATTTTTTTTGTGTCTGTGAGGGTCTTACTTTCAGTTTTCGATATCATTATGGTTTGTAGTTTCAAAATAATGATGATTCAATTTGGATTGCTATTTTTTCTCTGCTTTAGATGATGATCTTACATGTCGCCTTCGATGAGCATATAAATGAAATAGGCTCTATTTCAATTCAAACACGATTCGTGCAATCATTATTCGTTTATACGAATCGTCATACATAGATTTCGAGAGGAACAGATTCAATATTCTGCGTGGCATCATCCAGAAGACTCAATTGTTTTTAAATCTCGTTATCAATTATTATTTCCGTCGACCTCGTATTAACAACTGCGTTTAATGTATATGAAATCGTTCATTAATGACCCCTATTAATGAACGATTTGTCTATTAATGCACGATTGTTTTATAGGCAACCAAACATACACCGCGTGCATTCATTGTTTATGCTATAACTTACGGAATCTGCATTTAAATCGAAAATATGGATTTCATCGATGATTTTCCGTTAACGAGTTCGCCTTTCCAAGTTTCTGACACGATTTTCATCCCTGTTTTTCAACACGAGGAATTCATTTCCTATGTTGATCATTTCGACAAATGTCAAATGTCACTAATGTCAGTAACAAGGCCACTGGGTGATTCTTAGCAGTTTCCGGATCAATGATGAATTCGCGAACCAAGTTTTCTTCATTGCAGGAGAAATGAGAAATATAGTCGACGGAAAAATGTTGTAACCAACTTGTATATTGAAAGGCGATTAATGATCTCGAACATTAAAATATCTCGATTATTAATCGCCCTCATTAATACAATAGTTGGTTAAATAACTATTGCCGTTCGATTCAAGGAGAAATTTGTTATAATAACTGAGTACTTCACCAATTGCTTACATTTACGTCCAGGGTCCAACTAAGGGAAACATTTCATTTGTTCTCCTAGTATTATTTCCACCTGAACAGTATTCTAATATTTGTACGTATACTTAGGGTACCTATACCTTGTGTTTTTAGCAACACACATTTTTCGTCCTATAATTTGAAATACCTACTCAGTTCTATAGAAAATTATCCATTATCCCAGACTTTTTGCTAGTAGGATTTTGATGATCCATTTTTCAGAAATAATCAGAGGGGTGAAGAAGTTAAATCAAGAATGCCCGTTACGACCACCCTTAGAAAATTTTGGTGCCGCCGAGTATATTATGAAATGTATGAAGGCTTGTTGGCACGAAGAACCAGAACTGAGGCCTGACATACGATATGTCAGAGTTAGACTTAAAGAGATGCAGGTAAGAGATCGATCTTATTCATCTGACAGGACAGCAAATTGTTAAAGCATCGCCGTTTGAAATGAAGACTCATCGTTAGTATAGGCGAGAGGTATAATATTGTCTTCTCATATAGGAAAAAAAAAGGGAAATCGCCCTCATTGACCACATATTCAGTAAGCTACCCAGCAAACATTAATACATGTGGGTCATCACTTATAGACCAATGTCACCCCAGGAAACTATCATTGGCTTAATAATAGCATTTCTCAATTGACAATCACTGTCCGACTCTCCAATCAGCAAAATATCATCCATGGCACATCCTATGGTTATAGGTTCTGTGTATTCCTTATGAAATTTGCCAGATATATTTCATGGATATCCAGATGGCACAATTTCCTATAACCGCAGGACATCCCAGGACAAACTTTTTGAATTATCATAGGTTAACATCAGGATATATCCAGGATATCCTGAACTGAACCAAAGCCAATATACTCTTTGGATATAAGTGGATGGTGAAATTTATTTCAATTTCATAACATTCCAGACCTAACCTGATGATGTACAAAGTACAAAGATATTCAAGTTTGAAGAACCAATACAAAACGAAAGTAATATACTTTTTATAACCTAGGGATATATGGGTTGCGTGCAAGAACTGTCAGATGACCGACGCTGGAGGCACAACATTGAAACACAACCTGACTTTTCTTATTTGTTTACAAGTTGTAATAACACTCTAATGTGCTCAAGTTTCAAGTATCAATATATTATATTACTATTATTCATACTCATGACAACAACATAAGATAGTTATTTTATACAAGGTGTTCTATACACAAGTGATCGAAATAGTTCTTCACAATTATTTTGGCATACGAATCGTATTTTTTCGCTATTCATTAATTCGCTTATGCCATCATATTAGGCTGTTGTGAAATGAACAAAAACTGCAGCGGAAGACGAAGTATTCCGGTTGGTATATTATGATTTAAAAGTAAGTACCTACTATAGTCACTCACATATAGTTTTCAGTTTTGAAATTTGGTGATTTCTCTGATTTCTCATCGGAATTCCTTCTGCGATAGGAGCTAATAGAAATACACCTGAAATTTGCAAGAAGATTGGATTCATGCAATCAATCGGGAGGACTGGTCTGACATGCTGACGATCGTGTGTGTTGTAGACATTTTCAATCTATTAGCAGTATTAGCTTGTATTGCAGAAGTGGCAGAAGGCAGAAAGAATTTTAATGAGGAATGACAACATTTTATAATGATAACTATGTGAGATTACTATTTACCTGAAAAATCATATTCCTCAGTCTCTTGCTGCAATTTTTGTGCATTGTACAACAGCACAAGCGCAAAAAACACGATTCGTATTCCAAAATATTGTGAACAACTATTTCAATCCTTTGATGCATCTGTGACCAAATATAAAAGTGAGGTTGTGTTTCAATAATTTACAGAAGAATGTGGTTGTGTTTCAATATTTTGCCTCTAAGGTCGGTCATCGTGCACGCGACCTATTCTAGAAACGTGAACCTCTCATTCCGAATATAGTGTGATGAGAGCTTTTAGGCCAGCATCAGATATCTGGGTTGTACCGCACACAATAGCTCTTTGAGATAGTCTGAATATTCCTTCCTCTTATTTAATTTTTTTCACCAGGAAGTGTTGAATATGTCAATGAATCATTTTCATTCAATCTATCTATCGTTCGTTCGTTTGTTCCCTTATTTATTAAATCTCTTGCATGGCATGTCAAATTCTCAATAGCAAATTCGATGCTTTTTTGGAACATTGGAAAATTGGAAACATTTCCGGGAGAATGAAGACAGAGTAAGGTACTGGTGAACTCTTGAATATCAAAGGAGGAAACAGGCAGTATATTGAATTGATGGATGTGTAAGAACCATGACGCAAAAACCGATACTGAACAAGCAGACATTCTGGCACGAAAAGGAGCATCAACGCTACTTGATGAAGCTGAAGAAGCAATGAGAGTAACACACTTCCAGGACTGCTGTAGGCGAAGGATCTCCTCGGCAATTTTAACCGAGCAAATTCGAAGACACTGAACAACCTCACCAAAATTAGTCTCAAAAGAATAACGAGATTTCTTACGGGGCATTGTAAACTCGAAGAACATCTAAAGAAGCGTGGCTTAGAGGACAGCACCTGCAGATTCTGCGGGGAACATTACAAAAGATCGAATATTCTGGGAGCATACCAGTTGACCGAGGAAGAAATACCACGAACAAATTCCTTCCCTCCCTGAGGCTTGAGGGGCTACAATAAACAAGAAAATCTTTAGCTAGAAGAAGAAGACGAAGTACTATAGATCTCATCGTGTCACAACGCAACTGTCACCATCCACAACCATACCAAAAATATATTGCCCAGGGAGCCAAGTGGTCTTCATCCGGCCCTAGTATGCAAATTTTTTCCGTGGTTATCGTTCGAAACTATCAATTTCCAATGCAAATTCAAATATTACTGGTGACTCCACTGCATGCGAGCATAATTAGATAATTGTCTAGGATATGTTGAAAACCCATAAAAATGACCAGAAAGTTGCATACATTAGGTAAGCGTGACATAGAATCTGTTATCAATGGCCGCAGTCTATTAGGTATTCTTCTTCTTCTCGTATTTGAAAATGATCCATTGACATATTCGAAAGATATCAACGGAAACTGCAAGTTGCTATGTTGATGACCCGAACATATTTATTGTAGACAAGGACATATCCATGGGTTTTTAGCATTGTAACGGAAGTCGCATTTTCAGGAAAAATGAGATAGTCATAGCATAGATGTCACAGTATATCAAGAACCGATTAGAAATATATGTCCCGGCAGAGTGATTGACAGATGAAGATGTTGAGAAAAATATTAGTGAATAGATTAATAATATAAATATGTTGTTTTCAATGAAATTGTTGGAATGTTTTGCACGAACATTCTTCTTTTTTCATTCATAGTTTTCTTTCAATGTCTTTCATAAACAATGTTATATTTTCATTCCTAGTTTTTTTTTCCATTCGAAACAATCAGCTTATCTCGATTATAAAAAAATGCACCCAAACAGAGTATAATATCCATCAGAATGGGTATAGACTTACGTCATAACATCAGTAGTAGGTTCGACTACCACTGTCGAAAAATATAACGTAAGTAACAAATTTCACTCAAAAATATAGGTTTCCGTGATTTCCTTTTACCTATATCGTTATCGACATCACTCCATATAATCTTACGAGTAGTTTTGTCAGACTGTTCGGCTTCTCAAAACCTCATAGTAAAAAACGAATCTCCTGTTTGTGATTTATGTTACTTTGCCAAAAACCCATCGATATTATCAATTAAAGTAGCTACTTGAAATCAATTAAGAAGTAACCAATGCTTGGGTCAAAACATCATATATTTTCATTTGAGAAAACAGATTATGCAGTCATGTAAGGCATTTGACTCGAAACTATTCCTCCTTGGAATATACATATTGACAATCTTTGTGGCAAACGTTATGTCCCTGTATATTTCAGGCTGGATTGAAACCAAATATTTTCGATAATATGTTAGCTATTATGGAGAAGTACGCCTATAACTTGGAGGGATTGGTGCAAGAGAGGACAAATCAGTTGACTGAGGAGAAGAAGAAAACTGATGCGCTTCTCCATAGAATGCTGCCAAAGTGAGTATTTTCCACTGCTTCACAACATATTTTATGTTCACTTAATTTTTGATGAAACCGCACATAAGACGTATTTGGAGTTCTGAAAATGACACTGATATGAACATTTTCAGATAGGAGCTATCGATCGGATCGAAATTCAAAATGTAAAGCTATACAGTGTCTTTCAAAAGTATCGGAACGGTCTCATATTTCAGGAACAGCTTGAGAAAAATTCACGAAATTTTCTACAGGGTGATTATTGATGATGTCCGATTCAATGGTGGCATCGGCAATGTTGCCAAGTTTACAGTATTTCAGATATTAGGAGTAACTTTATTTTTTCAAACGGAATACCCCATTTATTTTCATTGCAATTAATTAAGCGCCTCCTAATTACTTGAGTCCCTGAATATCAGATTCGTAATTGACGTGATTTTCGAAATATGACAACATAGCATTTTCGTTAAAAAGTTCCGGAACGGTCCCATATTTCAAAAACGGCTCAGAGAAAATTTGTTTTTTTACACCTACCCTCCCCCGCATGTGACGCCCCCAAATCAAATTTTGGAGTTATAAATTCAGAGTCTCATCACCCATAAAATCTTCATGCCCTACACCAATTTTCGAAAACTCATTGTGAAGGATTTCAAAGTTATAAAGAGAAAATCGTCTTTTGAAGTGTCCTCATCAAGGAGCGTAGTTTCCTTTAGGAAGCATTTTCGGACCCTTATTAATTGGAAGAAGTCGCCCTCTTTCGAATCACCCTGTATAAATACTATAATAATAATGCAAAATATGAGGTGGTTTTCATTCTGAATTCCAGATCTGTAGCAGATTCGCTCAAAAAGGGGGAGAAAGTTGAGGCAGAGTCGTTCGAATGCGTGACAATATATTTTAGTGATATCGTAGGATTCACAGAACTTTCAGCAGTCAGTACTCCGCTTCAAGTAATAGATTTGCTCAATGATCTCTACACTTGTTTCGACTCCATCATATCACATTACGATGTCTATAAGGTGAGTTGTATATAATCCACACTCGAACTTAATTTATAACTCGATTATTTGAATTAAATTTGACAATAATAGTAAATGAAATCTGGTACTGCTCCCACATTTTTACTTGAAACCAGTTCACAACAAATCCTACTGATAGCTGCATTTTCATTGAAGTTAAGTTGATTCATTTCTTGATTGTTGTGATTGATGGAGATGAGGGCAATTATTAGAATGTATGGTCTCCATCCAAAAGATAATGCATTTTGTTTTGTTTTCACAGTTCGAGTTTGCTCGGATGTTCAATTACGAAAAGAGAAATGATTTGCAAAAACATAAAGCAAAGTAATCAGTTTGAAAATAATTCAATGAAAATTCACCAGAAAGAAAGTTCCACATTATGAAACATCTGGAATTGTTTTCCTGAGATGTTATACCAGAGTAAACAAAAACATTCCTGGGTATATAAAGGTACATATATTGTTGAAGAGTTTACCTGTAAAGATACTCCTTTTATCCAGGTTCGAAAGACGATTTTTCTAAATTGAAAAATTAGTTGTTGTCAGATTTGAATTATTTATTTATTGCCACCCGTTATTGACAAAAACATTTCAAAGGTCACTAACTTTTCACAAATATTTTACATATAGGAAATATTATACAATGTGTGCCCGCTAAAGGCCAAACTAGACAAAATATACCTAATAGATTGAAATACAGTATGCAACACGAAATACAGTATGCAACACTCTCCCCCCAGTAATTGATCTGGATACATGATGTGATAGAGTGTAAGAACAATTACTGCACATCCAGTACACAAAGCCTGGATACGGGTCTTCGAAAAACTGTCCCATTGGCCAGTCGTACGTCTACCATTCGAACCCTGCCATCTTTTGCTTCATAGAGATGAATAACTCGTCCCTTGGGCCATGTATTCCTTGGTCCGTTTGGGTCAACGATAATTACAATGTCGTTGATCTTGATTGCCCTCGATTCTGCATACCATTTCGTCCTCTTAACTAAATAAGGCATATATTCTTGAGTCCATCGCTTCCAGAATAGTTCTGTTAATTTTTGAGCCGCTTTCCATTTTGATAACAAGTTCAGATCTGATTCTTCTGTTTGGGAATACGGAAGGGCTGCATAGTCCGGTCCAATCAGAAAATGATTGGGAGTTAGTGCTTCAGAATCATCTGAGTCGAGCGATACATGAGTAAGAGGTCGTGAGTTTATAATGTTATCAATTTCAGCAAATACAGTTCTCAATACATATTCTTGGGGATATCTTGATTTCAAAATTTCGTACATCACCTTCTTGATTGATTGAATCAATCTTTCCCAAATACCTCCCATATGTGGACATCCAGGAGGATTCCATCTAAATCTGATGTTCTTCAATGTGCAAAATTGGCTGATTTCTGTCGAACTTAGTCCTTTAATACAATCAGCTAGTTCCTTTTCAGCAGCTTTGAAATAAGTACCATTATCACAATAAATGTCAGAGGGAAAACCTCTTCTACAACCGAATTGACGAAGTGCATGAATAAATCCATTGGTACTCATATCATGAGCGATTTCTAAGTGTATGGCTCTGGTTACCATACAGGTGAAAATTACTCCATACCTTTTTTCATGACTCCGTTTAACTGTGATATTGAGCGGTCCAAAATAATCGATACCGGTCTTGACAAAAGGTCTAACTGTAGGTTCTAGCCTACAGGGCGGTAGTTGACCCATCATTGGGATTTCTGGCAAAGCTTTTCTATTCTTACATTTTTGGCACCTATTCCAGGAACTCTTGACAGCCTGTCGCATACGCAGAATCCAGAATTTTTGTCTAAGCTTATTTATCACGGTTTCTTGCCCTTGATGACCAACTTCTTCATGGTAGTTTTGGATTATCAGCCTGGAAATTCTGTGATCAGGATCTAAAATGATAGGTTGCTTGAAGTCTTTACAGACACCAAGTAAATTATCAAATCTACCATTGAGTCGTAGCAATCCACTGGTTTCATCCATTGAGCAAGATAGAGTGTATAATCTACTTGCCTTATGGATCGGTTGATTTTGTCTTAGAGTTTCAATTTCTTTTCTGAAAGAATCTTGTTGAGCCTTCCTGTATAATAAATTTTCGGCTTCTGAAATTTCATCGCAAACGAGTTCAACCAAACTTGTTAAGGAAATATCTAGAGTTCTTTTATGATTCATTTTATTTTTACAGTTTTTGATGAACCTCAACATCCAACCAGTAGCTCTAACAAGACGATATAATTTTGAGAATCTTTCCGGATTGGGAACTGACAAATTATTTCTTTCAAAATTCAGAAAAACAAAATCTTTTCTCACTTCCAAATCTAGGTCTTCATCATTGATTTCCAGATTTTCTTTTTCTTTGGGCCAATGGTCTTCAGACTTTCGTAAGAACTTAGGACCGTACAGCCATCTACTGTTTTTTGAAAAATCCATTTCACTACGTTTAGTTGCTTCGTCTGCGACATTTTCTTTGGAGGAAACATATCTCCAGTCGGTAGCTTTCGTCAAATTTTGAATTTCGCCTACTCGATGAGCGACAAATATTGCGAAACGCCTGGCTTCTGAACAAATCCAATGAAGCACCGTTTTCGAGTCACTCCAATAAAAAATGTTGTTGAAATTCAATTTTAAATTATTTCTCATGTAATATCCAAGGCGTGCTCCAATGAGAGCAGCTTGTAATTCGAGTCTTGGAATCGAAATGGGTTTTAATGATGAAACTCTGGCCTTGGCACTTACAAATGCAGTTTGGATGTCATTTTTTCCTTGGCAGCGCAAATATGCCACCGTCGCATAAGCTTTTCCGGAAGCGTCACAAAAAATATGCAATTGTAATGAACAGTTATTCCTGTCAGTTGTGAAATACTGTCTTGGAATTTGGAAATTGAATATATTCTTAAGATCATGCAGCCATAACCTCCACTTTTCGTCTAAGATATTAGTGACTTCATCATCCCATCCCAATTGACTTCTCCAAATATCTTGAAGAAGTATTTTTCCCTGAATGATGAAATTTGCCAAAAATCCAATGGGATCGAATATAGACATCACGACTTCGAGAATTTCTCTTTTTGTCGGTCGTCGTTTATATTCCAAGATTGCATTGTCAATTTTATGAAATTCAGTTCGGAATAGAAAATTGTCTTCAGTTGAATTCCAATAGACACCCAGAACACGTTCTGTCACTGCTTCTGGATTTGTTTCCAGGCTCTTATCACCTCGAGCTTTCAAGTTTGGATCAATGTCTTCAAGGAGTTCATCTGAATTAGATATCCAGTTGCAGATAATGAAACCACCTTGTGAATGAACATGAATTACGTCCTTTATTAGTTTTTTACCTTCATTTATCGAATCAGCATTTCCTAGAAAGTCGTCCATGTAGTGCTCCTCTATGATTGACTTCGTTGCCTCTGGATATTCCTTCTCGAAATCTTTGGCATTCCGGTTTTTTGCCTCCTGTGCTAGACAGGGCCCATTTGTAGATCCGAAGAAGACTACGCCGATCTCATAAACGTCTGGATCCCGATTTCTATCCATCCCACGCCATAAAATTCTTTGTGATGCACAATCTTCCTTACACACCCTGACTTGCAGAAACATTTCTTTTATGTCAGCAACGAAGGCAAATTTTTTGATTCTGAAATTTAGTAGAATGGTTTGTAAATCGTTATATAAATCTGGACCATTGAGCAAAACATCATTTAAACTGATTCCATTTGACTTTGAGGCAGCATCAAAGACTATTCTCAATTTTGTCGGTTTCTTAGGATTTATAATACCAAAATGAGGGAGATACCAAGTTTTGGGACTGGTTTGTTCAGCTTCTTCTCGAGAAAGTTTTCTAATGTAATCTTTACTCTGTAGATCCATTATTTTGTCACAATATGCCTTGCCATACGAAGGATTCTTAGCAATTTTTCTCTCTGTACACAAAAGTCTTTTCATAGCATTATTTTTACTTTCTGGAAGGATTATATTTTCATTTTTCCAAAGCAAACCAGTCTCAAATCGATTTCCAATTCGTTTCATTGTTCTATCAAGAATGTTTTGAGCTCTAATATCTTCTTTTGATGAAGCTCTCTCAATTTTATCTAACCCAAAACAATCTAATTTCCACTGTTCTTTTACAAGATCATGTAATAAATCTAAGTCGTCCTTTTCTTTATTATTATTATTTACATAACATACAAACCCAATTTTGTTTGTCTGATGGTCTGTAGTTTCCAGAACATTTCCATGGATTACCCACCCTAAAAGCGTTTTGCTAAGGGCAGGCCCATTCCATGGACCAGTTATAATTTTTCGGTTAACTAGTAATGGCCAGTTATCTTGACCAATCAAAATTTGTGGTTTCGCATTTTTCATTGATATACCTCTACTATCTATGTAAGGATATTGTTTGCAAATCTCACCTACATCCACCGTCTGTGTTGGTAGAGACATTCCTTTTATTGTCCTCACATGTCTCAATTGAAACTCACCATTTCCATTCTCAGCTCGTACCGTAAAACTTATAATCCTGGAATCGTCCTGTTCCTTGGTTTGGTTGTTTGTCCATTGAAGGCATAGTGGTTGTAGAGGACCCTCGATGTCCAATGCGTCTGCTAAATCTTGATCAATAAGAGTAACCGTAGAAGCATCATCTAGAAGGGCATATGTTTTAATACTCTTATGGTTACTACAAATCATTATCGGTAGAATTTTCAGCAGTACATGTTTATTTGTTGAAATATAGCAATTCACATGGGCACCCGTCTGGCTCCCAGATGGAGATGGTTCCACATTGATAATAGGTTCATCATCTTTTTTATGTAAGAGTGTATGATGGTTCTTTTTGCAACTATTTATTCCACACATCTTTCTCTTTTTACATACAAAAATATTATGGAATGGTATTAGACAAGCGAAACAGATTTTGTTGGCTGTTACGAATTCCCAACGATGATCGACAGTCAATGATTTGAATTTGGAACACTCGGTCAAATGATGTATTTCGTCATGGCAACAGATACAGTTCTTTTTAACCATCGTTGTCAATGTCACATCCTTCTTATGAGAATATTTTGACTTTTTCGTGTCACTGTCATCATGAAATCTAGGAATTTGAATTTGACTAGCTATCATTGCCTTTTTATCTAACCATGTGGTGAATTCAACTAATTTATGTGTTTGAGATGGTATGCTGGAGATATATTCAATCCACATCATTTGATAAGAGTTAGGAAGTTTCTTCAGAAGTTTATGCAACAGTATAGGATTATGTAAGTGATCTTGGGCATCTAAAGATTCGATAGTTCCGACAAGATTTTTCACTTCGTCTGAGAATTGTATCAAAGTGTCTAATTTATCTTCTTTGACGATTGGAAAGATTTTAATTTGATCAAGAAGTATCAGAATGATTTGTTCAGGCTGCCCAAATCTATTCTGGAGAATTTGCATTATCTTATTAACATTCTGAGGCATGATGAGCAAACTTTGAACGATTTTCCTAGCGTTACCTCTCAAGCATTTTTGTAAACGACAATGATTTTCCTCTTGTGAATATCCACAAATAGCAGTAGAATTACGATATTGATATATAAAATTAGGCCATTCTGTCGGATTCCCACTGAAGATAGGTAAGTCTTTTGGCATTGACTGTCTGGTCAGCAATTTCGTGAGTTGATTAGGAGATATTTGGTTTGGATATTCATTTGGGAAATTCACAGAAGAGCATGGACGAGAAGCAAGATAACCTGATCCTCTTACCTCATGTTCCGCTTTTGTTACCGTTACTGGCATTTGCCACTCCAGATCTTTCCTTAGTTCTCGACTAATCCAGGGATCCTCGCCATCAACCCATTTGTTAATATCGGGTCCTTTATTTGACCTCTCATGCGACTCACTCGACCCAGAATCCTCTTGATCTGACTGTTCTTCCTCTATTTCAGCTACTTTGAAAGCTAACTCCAAGTCTAGCATTTCTTGTTTCTTCTTATACTCTAACTCCAGCACTTCTTGTTCTAGAGCTTTCTTCTTCATTGCTATTTCTAATTCCGCTTGACGTCTTCTTGATGCATTAGTCTTGCTACTTCTTATCGTACCACTCTTGACATGAATCTGATTCTTGCTCTTCTCGCCACCTTTTGATCCACCAGACTCTGATGGAACTTGATTTGTCGAGGTAGCTTGTTCTATCTCTTGAGCGCTTTTCATGCCTTTGGCTTTAAGACGTTCGCTTCTCCTCAATTCGTGAGTAGACATTTTTACCACAGTGTAGTTCAGTTAGACGCGAAGGACCATTTGTTGAAGAGTTTACCTGTAAAGATACTCCTTTTATCCAGGTTCGAAAGACCATTTGTTGAAGAGTTTACCTGTAAAGATACTCCTTTTATCCAGGTTCGAAAGACGATTTTTCTAAATTGAAAAATTAGTTGTTGTCAGATTTGAATTATTTATTTATTGCCACCCGTTATTGACAAAAACATTTCAAAGGTCACTAACTTTTCACAAATATTTTACATATAGGAAATATTATACAATGTGTGCCCGCTAAAGGCCAAACTAGACAGAATATACCTAATAGATTGAAATACAGTATGCAACACGAAATACAGTATGCAACATATATATAGTATCCATGTCTGACAAAGTAACATGAACATCTGTGGTGTTGCAGCGGATTCTTTATTTAACAAATCGTTAGCAATATGCTGAAAATCTACTAACAAACTGAAAATTATTGTAATACATGGCTTATTCTCAGAATATCGTATATGTGTTATATATTTTTGAATACTACAAAGCATCACTGTATCAAATATGAAGAAATATACTCATTCGGTGTTCAATTAATGAAAACATAACATCAACTAATTATCAACAGCTCATTTTGAGAATCTGTTTACGCCTCTAGATTTTACGTAAAAAATGTATGAAATGCAGTTTTTACTTTTCCTATAAGTTGAAAGATAGCTGAGATGCAACAGTTTCAGTTTCTCCCTATATATCAAAAACGAAGCGTACTCACCTACTCTGAGAATTTTGTTTGCGGTATCGTGAGTTTCATAAAAAACGTCAATGTTCGCCAAAACAGAAAATCTCTAACTTTGAAAATAAGTGTGATAACCCGTAAGGTCATCGAAAATGACACACGACACATCCATATTCTGTATCTTCAGGTTGAAACAATCGGTGACGCTTACATGGTTGTGAGTGGACTGCCCATCAAGAATGGGGATCGTCATGCCGGAGAAATTGCTTCAATGGCGCTGCATTTGCTCAGTAAAATAAAGAAATTCGAAATAAAACACAGGCAAGGCGAAGTACTCCAATTGAGGATAGGCATACATTCAGGTACGCATTCAGAACAATCCAGAGCACTGGAAGAGAGGGAAGAAGTGAGTGGATGAGAATGAATGGGATTTGATGAGAATGGATGAGAATGGATGATAATGGATGATAATGGATGAGAATGGATGCGCAACGATGGAAATGAATGAAATTGGGTAAATATTGAAGAAAATTGATGGGATTTGTTGGAAATGGATGAGGGTCAATGGAAATGGATGTGAAGGAATGAGTGAGATTGAACTAAGAAGGAAAATGGAAGGAAGTGGGTATTAGATTTTCTTCACCTTCTGGAGATTATATAAGTTCTCGAGAGTATTGCCTATGGCAAAGAATTCCAAAGATTTGCTGATCTATGGACAAACCAGTCTTTTGCCATATATCAAGGTTGACTATGGAAGAATGTGCTGACTGGGCTTGTTGAGTTTGTCTGACTGGTATTGCTAGTGATGAAATGATATCACAGATATCTGAAGAACATTTCTCGTGGAAGTATCATTGGGAAGAAAAAGGCCGCCTACTTTTCTCGAATGTGAATTGTGTATTAAAATATATACAGGGTGTTTCGAAATTCGACCGACAACGCTTGACAGGTGATAGCCCTCGTGATTTCATAATCACTGAGATAGGAACATTCGGTCTTCAAGTGTTCAGTTCTCGAGATACAGGGCGTTGAAGTTGAGAAATTAAAATAGTTTTTTCTCGATATCTCATGAAAAATTGAATTAAATGCATTCAAATTCGGTATATGGTTTGATCTTCCAATGGTTAATTTTTTGACCAGAAAGACATTCCGAGAATTTTATCCAGAGGTGCGCTACAGAGGGTTGTGATAACTTTTCCGCACATATTTTCTACGCCACTGATGAAATTTCAATTATTTCTAATTTCTCGAATTGATTGTTCAATTATGTTGAAAAAGTGCATCACCTTCAACTAAGCTAAAATGAACAGTTATCGAGATATTTGACCCAAAATAGAAGTTTGCATAGTAATTTTTCATCTTTCTCGGTAGTAGGAAATTACAAAAATATTTGTTTTCTCTTTATGCGTGGAATAACTATTTCTGTTCAGCTATAGCATGAGATCTGAATAGTATCTAATCTACTCAACACCAGAAAAATATTTTTGCAATTTTCTACTACTGAAAATGATGAAATATTACTATGCAATCTTCTATTTTGGGTCGAATATCTCGAAAACTGTTTATTTCAGCTCAGTTGAAGGTGATGCATTTTCTGAACAAAATTGAACAATGAATTCGAGGAATTGGAAATAATCGAAATTCAATCAGTGGCGTAGAAAATATGGAAGGAAAAAATGCCACAACCCCCTGTAGGGCACCACTGGACAAAATGTCCGGAATGGCTTCCAGGTCAAAAAATGGCCCATTCAAAGATGAAACCATATACCGAAGTTGAATGCATTATATTCAATTATTCTTGAGATATTGCGAAACAACTATTTTCATTTCTCAACTTCAACGCCCTGTATCTCGAGAACTGAACACTTGAAGACCGAATGTTCCTATCTCAATGATTATGAAATCACGAGGGCTATCACCTGTCAAACGTTGTCGGTCGAATTTCGAAACACCCTGTATATATAAAAAAAATCCTTCAGATCTTCTTATTTCTCGAAAAGTAATGATTACGGAGTTATAACTATGTTGTATTGCGGTTTGATTGGATCTCATTTATTTCTAATGATATCGACTTGTTCGTTGCAGGCCATGTTGTTGCTGGTGTAGTCGGACTGAAAATGCCAAGGTATTGCCTTTTTGGAGATACTGTCAACACTGCTTCGAGAATGGAGAGTTCAGGAGATGCTTTCAGGATACACATATCACATGCTACGTATATGCTGCTCCAAAGGTTAGGAGGGTATACTTGCGAGGAACGAGGACTGATACCTATCAAGGTAACTTTTGGGATTTCAAAGTGTATCGTATATAATTTGGAAGATTTGATGTTTTCTCCATCTTAACTCATTATGGTTCCAAACTGAAGAAGAAAAAACATGACAAGATCGAAATATAAATGAGTGTGGTTTCCTGAAAGAGTTCAAAAAATTGCTGTCAAAAATTTATGTTTTCTAGGGTAAAGGCGAAATGAGAACATATTGGTTAGCAGGAGATGATCCAGCTCAACGAATGGCAAGAATCAGAGAAGAACTCGTTGGATCTAATTTATTCAACAGTATAAGTTCAGAAAGTAAGTATAACGATGATTCTGATATACATATGACTGAGTCATCACTGAAGTAGTGAAAGTTTTGGAAAATCATAAAATGGACTCTAGATCAAACGTATGAATATTCTACACAAAGTTAAACTTCAACTTCAACTTGGCTAGCGAACAGTGTGAACCAAATTCAAATTGTTGCAAGCAGAAAAGAGTGATTCATATTTCAACAGGGGCAAAATTTTGAGGTGCGATGAAATGAGGGGTACCATTTTCACTGTCACCAGTTGGCGATACTAGAACACGAGGTCAATGTCGAAGTTAAAAATCCCAAAATTCTGCCGGATAGCCCACGGAGATATGGCCTGTTATATCGAGAATATTTTTAAAAAAATATGTAGAATATGAACGAATAGAAAATCTCAAATTATTGAGAGACGTGAGCCGTCTTACGTTTTTTTACACTCAATGTGGTACTTCACCAAATGACACAAATCTACGAAGTATATTTATCAGTTCTACCAACCCTGGCCTCGCATGTTTTGGTGGCACGCATAGTGGAAGGAGAAGATGGTGTGCCTACGTGCATATTATGTGACGTCATCTGGGATACCAATGTCAGCTGCTAGTCACAGACAGATACCGAAATTTCTATAAGTTTCTCGATCTGTTTAGATATAATTCAATTTATATAAACATGTTCCTATTCCTTTGATTTCACTATTGCATTGATTCTGGAAATTGTGATCTTGAGGTAAATTCACAATCGCAAATAGCAAATACATACGAATTATCATGCATTGCCAATCTCATCTGAATGATTCACTACTGTGTCGATTCTGACAGATTAAAATTCAGCAGTTAACGACGTTGACGTTGCTTCTGCTCCGACATCAACAGGAGTATCAATTTTTGCCGTTTTGTTATCCAAATCTTTGCTGCAATTTATATTTTGTGAGAAATTGAGAGTTTCGAATTCATTTCCAACTATTTCTGACTTGATATTCGGAAGATGTTCTGTAGAAATGGCATCTTGTTTCAAATATTTGTGATTTTTTGGAGGTGTGTAATTCAAGAACCGTACTTTCGCACTTGTTTGGGAACATTTTGCATGGAAATGTTTTGAAGAAATACGTGCTGTAATATGAATGTGATGATAATATGATAGGTGAATACTTTCGAATGAGGATATAAGGAATATGAGGTATAGGTACCATTATTTGAGTTTATATTCTGTCGGCAGCAAGCTCCCATCGTTTCATTAGGTCTCCATTCTTGGAAAAGCAGACAAATTCAATATCTGTGCCTTTTGTATGTTAGTTGGAATTTCCATAACCAGAAACGATACAAGTAGGCATTTCGAAATTATTTCATTAAATTTTATTACTTAGATAATATCTGGAGTACGAGACATCAATCACGAAAACAAATAATATCAATGACAGTTATATCCCAGCTGACGTCATGCGCAGAACAAGACGAGTTTGAGCTTTCTGTTGAGCACACCATCTTCCCCTTCCACTATGGTGTCACGGTATGGGGGACAAATAAATGATGTTAGCCCTCATTAGTGTTGCGTAGTTCACTATGATGGGGAAGATCACTAAGGGATGAAATCAGTCCCAATCTCTTTCAATCGATGAAACATGATATTCATTTTTAATTTATAATCAATAATACTATGAGTTGAAGTTGGGGGGCATCGAATCTATGGCGTCTTGAATTCAGCATTATTCCATTCGATATTTCGAAGCGCCAGATATGGAGACGGAGCCGTGGCGTATTATTTATAGTCCAGAATTGTACCTATCTCTCTCTGAGATCCTGCCCTGATACCCTGCCATTCTGCAGTGTTACATTGTGATTAGTCAGCTCAAAGACAAAAGGAGTGTTGGGACTAATTCGTCACACCGATGACACCAATGAATCGACACCAATATATTATAATCTATGTTTTTCATCGTCCTAGTATTATGAATGAAAGAATTAACGATTATATTCACTATTGTTTTTTTGGTATATTGGGTGATTCAAAATTAGCTGTAAATATTTCGAGGAAGTATTTTCAAACAGCTAAAAATACAAATGATGCTATGTTTGCTTCATTAGAGGATTTATATATATCAACATAAACGATGGTGACGCAGTTGCAGCATTTTGCGACTTTTCAAAAGCATTGGACTGTGTTGATCATGAAATTTTGCTTCATAAACTAGAAATTTATGGCTTTAGAGATATCACACTAAGATGGTTCCAATCATACCTATCAGAGCGTACTCGAATAGTCTCGTTTAGCGAAGAAAAGTCCAGGTCTCAGTTAGTGACGTGTGGGGTCCCACAAGGATCTGTGCTTGGACCAATCTTATTTTTAATATATATAAATGACCTAGCAAATATCACTATTAGAGGAAAGTTCACTATGTTCGCAGATGACACCACAATACTGTGGCATAGCAACAATAATGACAAACTGAGTAACTATGACACTGAAGATATATTGGAAGTAAAAAGTTGGTGTGATGCGAATAAATTATTATTCAATAAATCTAAAACATGTATTTTGACGTTCAAGTGCACTTTTGATGATATACTTTTGGAAAACTCAAGAATTTGTAATCAATAATCGGCTATGTTTTTAGGGCTCTATGTGGATGACAGTCTCTCATTCAACAATCACATTACAAATTTATGCAAAAAATTATCTTCTGGTTGTTTTGCAGTAACAGTCATCTCATATCTGAATTGAATACATCTGCAGCAAGATCAGTTCATTTTGCCCTGATTGGCTTTATTTTGAGATATGGAGTTTGTTTTTGGGGGAATAGTTCTCAATTCCTTTTGAACTCTGTGTTCATTTTACAAAAGAGGGCGGTAAGATATCTCAGTAAAGCTAAATTCAGGGAAGCATGTCAACCCTTATTTGTGGCACAGAAAATACTGACATTGACTTGCATCTTCATTCTGGAGAATGTATGCATGATCCACAAAAAATATACCACGAACATTCATTCGATGTCGGTATACAGCACAGGAAATGTTGCCTGTACGGTTTCTCTACTAATTCCTAGAAGTACATTGATAAAGAAGTCCATTATTTATAATGCCAAAAAAATGTTTAATCACCTGCCTTCACATATTCGTTCATTGCTAACACATATCGAGTTTAGAAAGGCAGCTAAAGAGCTACTATTGAATAAAGCCTATTATACCTTGCAAGAATTTTATGAAGACGCATTCAATTAAGTTTGTCAGTTTTTATAATTCGTTTTTAATTGTTCAATATATTTTTTATAGTGTGACTTTTACTAGTATATGTTCTACTTAAATGTTTTGTTCCTTATATATGTCGCAAAAGCTGCTTCACAAAAACTCGGATTCTTGTTCCGTTCGAAAAGCTACTTTACACCTCAACAGCTCCTCATGATCTACAAGGCGCAGATACGGCCTGTTCTAGAATACTGTTACCACATATGGGGTTCAGCACCAGAACATACGCTGATGCTCTTAGATTCCATCCAGAGAAGAGCCATCCGCCTGGTGGGTGACGCCACACTCACTCACTCTTTGACATCATTGGAACACCGTAGAAAGGTCGGCGACCTTTCACTTTTCTATCGATACTTCCACGGGAAATGTTCTTCGGAAATCTCTGCTATCATCCCCTTCACTAGCAATACCAGTCAGACGAACTAGACAAGCCCAGTCAGCACATCCTTTCGTTGTCAACCTCGAAAGATGTCGAACAGCACTTTATCAAAACTCCTTCATCCATAGAACGGCTAGGCTCTGGAATTCATTGCCTGTGGAAGTATTCCCAACAACATATAATCTCCAGAAGTTCAAAAAAAATCCAATACCTACCTCCTATCCCTATCTTCCCTAGGAACGCACGATGTTCTTTGAACATTATAGGGATTCCCTTTCGTGCGCTTCAAGCGATAAAAAAAAATGTGCATATTTTCCAGGATTTTATATAGTTTTAATATTAGTTATAGCTTATTCACGATACACATGCTTTGTCAACTAAAACTTTTGGTTTTTAGTACAATAAAGACTTCCTCTCTCTCTCTCTCTCTCTCTCTCTCTCTATATTGTTGAGTGAGGACCCCTTTTCAACTCCTTCCTCTGCCCCCCAAGAATCAGGTTTACATAATTCTTGGAGAAAGAATGGATTGAAGTGTCTTAAACGACCGGGGCCTGCCAATTTTCAGGAGATTTGATCCTTTATTTTAGTCACAATTTTAGAATATCTTATTTTTCCTGACTTACAGTGGCTGTAGCTTGGGGGGGGGGGAATTTTATTACACATGTTTATGTGAAGAAAAAATCTCATTTCGATCCCAATATGTTTTTGAAATATTCACATCGAATTTTAAATGACGATGATGTTATCCTATGATTAATCAGTTCCTGTTCATTCGTGATGATAAAACTGAAAGTAAACACTATTATTGCCTCAGTACTCATATTAGAGTTGTGATGTTCGAAAATACATAGGCAGCATAAGTAAATAACTATTTCAGGACTGAGTAATAGAACGCCTGATCTGCTGCAACGAACTGGAGTGAACTTGGAAAGGGATACTCAATTGTACGACCACTGCCATACATGTAACTCCCAATCGAGCTGTCCCGTACTCCAATTGCATCAAAGGGCCAGGAGGGCATTCAATCCCATGCAGAGCCAGGTAATTAAATATACAGTGCGCATCATAAGTGTTCCCCCCCCCCTATCTAACTCGGTACGGGACTCTTGTTAGTAAAATCGTCGAGACCCGTCGATTTTTGATTTCTACAGTGTACATTTTCGTAGGGATAGTTCACTCCTAATTTCATCCCTTACTGGAGGGAAGCAACCCTAGTGGTCAAACAATCCAAATAGAATCGATTCCTTTGCACGGTTGAATAGAGAATAAAACCCCCTTACAAATGAGCTGTGACTCACCACCCCAAGCTTTTTAATTTTTTTGACAGGGTTGATCTCATCCAGTAAGGGATGAAATTAGGAGTGAATTATTCCTATGAAAATGTACACTGTAGAGATCAATAAATTAAAAGTAAAAAAAAAACTTTTCAATAAAGAGCTTTTATTTAAACGCTCTAAAAAGAAGAAAATAAAATTTTCCTCAATAATTTCAACTATCAACTTATAACCTCATTATACACAATTTATATGATCATAAAAGTTTATCGCGCGATTCACTTGTGCCAATGAACTAGTACTTATTTGATTATGTAAAATCTGCTGAGATAAAATATTCAAAATTACAATTCAATCGAATATTGATCATCGCGACAAGCTTTTATGATCATATTTTTCATCAAAGTTTTTTTTACTTTCAATTTATTTTTTGATTTTTAGTTATCGCTAGCTAGATTTTTCGATTTACTCTCAACGAGCCTTTTCATTTGATACCCATATTGTAGAAATATATTGAAAATGACCATTCCGCCATCTTGGATGGTCCGCCATATTCGATTTAGAATGACGTCACATCATTTTTCGAGTTACTCTCAACGAGCGTTTTCATTTGATACCCATATTGTAGAAGTATATTAAGAATAGCTATTCCGCCATCTTGGATGGTCCGCCACATTGGATTCCGAATAACGTCACATTATTTTTCGAATTACTCTCAACGAGCCCTTTCATTCGATACCCATATTGTAGAAGTAGATTAACAACGACCATTCTGCCATCTTGGATGGTCCGCCATATTCGACTTAGAATGACGTCACATCATTTTCCGAGTTACTCTCAACGAGCCTTTTCATTTGATACCCATATTGTAGAAGTATATTAAAAAAAGCTATTCCGCCATCTTGGATGGTCCGCCACATTTGATTCAGAATAATATCACATTATTTTTCGAATCACTCTCAACGAGCCCTTTCATTTGATACCCACAAAGATTCCACCCGAACATACATACATACATCCATATAAACATACAATGCAAGTTGAATAAAAGCTTTAAAAAATCGACGGGAGATTTTACTGAAAGAATCTTATTAGTTAGATAGGGGGGGGGGGGAAACACTTATGATGTGCACTGTATATATCCATATATATTTGCTCAAAGTGGAGTGGAATGTTTCGAAGGAAGAAGAATAGCTCAAATTCATCCGACACGTTTTCAGTTCCTAGCAGTTAAACATCAACTTTAGCTCCTAGACAATTTTTTTTTATCGGATGGAGTATTGCCTAGCAACATACATACTTAATCATTTTATTGTGTCATTAAGAGAAACGCCAACTTAAGAGCAGATTTTGGAACAAAAATTGACGACTTTTGACCCGATTGCAGAAAAAGTTTGTATTTATTTAAAAAAAAAAGAAAAAAGTATTTCCATAATATATGTATTAATAATTATTTTTGAGTGACTGTACACATGAATTCACCATCATCCAGATATACAAATCGATATGTGACCGATTTTTTTTTGGCAGAAAACAATCTCCTGCATTTCAAATTAATTTGTTCCAAACCACGCATTCTGATACGTATACTCGCTGCTTGCTGTTTCACAATATACAGGGTGTTTCTGAAATTAGGACTAGAAATGGAATGAGTGATATGTATAGAACGAGAAAACGAATCGAAATGAAGAAATTTATTTATGTCCAACAAAATCATTTTGGAAGAATTCAACTGAAACTTCTGTGAATTATTGGTCAGAGGTTAATTATTGCCGAATCCAAGCATTTGCTTTCGGCATCGACAGGAACACCGGAAGTATATCAATAATTTCTACAATGTTGCCGGCATTCACTGATAGTTGGAAGATTTGGTATGGTTAGAGCACAAATTCTTTTGATAAAAAATTAAGAAACACAATTTCTGGAACACCCTGTACTTATTGTATGGATTTTTTCAGATTATTTTATATCAGGCTTTATTGGCTGTGGAAAAAATCGACCAATTCCCACGATGATAAAAAAAATAAGGTGAATGTTTTGATTTCAGGAAACCATTGATGGCAGTTTCGACATGTTATGTCCCGAAATGTACAGATATCATCTCACCAGACTCAATTACAGATCTTCGTATAGGAATCCCCGATCAGCGCCCGCCATCACTTTCACAAGTGGTAATGAACACATCTGAAATTGACTAGTCCAAAGAAGTCAATATGATTAACCGAAAAATAAATGTTTATTGTCAATTAATTCCATTGTGAAGGCCGAATTATCATTGTATCAACATCCTGTATCTTTCTCGTTCGGAAATATGGGAACGAAATTTCACACTTGATATATTAGAAAGTCGCAGATTTTTGCGCTCGTACCGTTTACATTTTTCATCAAATCAGATACCTATAAGATTGAGACTAATATTCTGTGTATTTTTCTGATGGCATATATTATTTATTCAGTTTTATTGGTATTTATTTATGAAATATTTGAATGAAGCCAATTTTCAAATTTTTTGAAATCTTCGTTGATAATATTTTCTAGTATGAGGGAGGTTTTTGTTTTCGTTTAAAAGTACATTATCATCTGCATGTATAGTATAATTACCTGATAATTCAATTTTAGAAATATTCTGAATATATAATGAATACCTACAAGATGGGCCCTAAAACAGATCCCTTTGGAACACCTTTATTCATTGGAAATCTATAAGACTCTGACTTATTACATTTATTGCTGATTTTCTTAATCGCAAGATACGCTTCTAATAGCTTTTCAATAATGCCTCTGAGTCCCATCAATGCGAAAAGTATTCTGAGCTTTTCTTATGGTCAACTGTATCAAATCGGGGGTAACGATCAAATGCTTTTTTAAGGTCAATGAAAATAGCTACAACGTAATTTCCCGTATCAAGTCCTCTCTGAATTTTTTGTACTACTCGAAGGAGTGCTGCTTGTGTGCCACTATTTACTTCGGAACCGAACTGATTATTATCAAAACAATATTTTTTGTTTACGAAACTTACAATACGGTTCTTCGAAATTTTTTCAAATATTTATAAAAATATGCTCAATATAGCTGTTAATCTGTAATTTTCTGGATCTTCAGCATCCCCACTTTCGAATATAGGTCTCAGTGAAGCATATTTCAATTCACATGAGAAAATACCTATTACAAAATAATTATTGATTAGTTTTGTCAAGGGTTCAGCCAGAATGATTTTTAATTCAAATATATATTTGGTTGATAAACCTTCCGAGTCAGGACATGTTTTCTTCAGAGTATAAATGTTGTTATAATATGAATTGATTTCATCGGCTAAATTGTTACCAATACTTGAGAAATGATCGTTTATATAACACTGGCTATTTCCAGATCATCACTGTTTGATGCTTTGGTGATGTGTGGACTGTATATAATTGTGATTGTTTGATAATGACTGATGAAATGAAAATTGGAGAGAAGAGATTGAAACTTCTCCTGAACTTTATTGATTAATTATTCTGTTTCAACAACACGTCGTCATGTTAACAACTCAAGATGTTATTTTATATAGGGTAATACAGTTACCCAACTGATTATATAGGATGAAAGTATATATAGGGTGGAAGGTGGAAGTACTGAACAATCACTAATTATTTTCCTTTTTATTTTCAATGATTCAATCTTCTTCTTATACTTTTCAAAGTTGATGTACATCTGATATCATAATTCATAGTGTCCCACACATTCTCATGCTTACCTTCAGAAGCTTCAACTTTGCTGTTTATATAATATTGAGCCTCAACCTTTTTTATCATAGCATTCACTTTGTTTCTTCAACTCCAACCCATTTCGTAAGTAAATTGCTACTCCACCTCCTTGTTTATCAACAAGACAATGACGGATACTTGAAAAACTAGGAACATTGAAATAATTAGTTCCATTCAAAAAGTTTATAATAATTATCTAATTCACACACAGGTCAATAACCTATGTGAAGTAGATAAAATTTAGAATTTTTATAATATTAGAATATGTATGTCTTTGTAAATGTATTCATATGAGAATAAATAAATAAATAAATAAATAAATTCGATTTCAACCAGGTTTCTGTTAGTACCAATACATGTGTTTCTTTATATTTGTTCAAGATAATAACCTCCACTTCATTGAGTTAGTTTGTCAATTTCCTTATATTCATATTCATATTATTATTCTACTAATAGTCAAAGTGTTTTTTTTAGGAACAATCAACACTCTATTCGATATATGATCAAGATTCGCCTCTGAATTGAACCTCTCAGTGGTAATTTTACAATTGATACAGCATAGATTATTTTGATTATTGCATTCGTTACTTTGGTGGTTTCCCTCACAGATTGAACATGATATTTTCTTGGGGTTTTCCCTCGATTTCTTGTTCCATAACCGTTGACCGTTTTCAAAGCTGTTTTCATAAATTTCAGTTTGATATTTGTTGCAAAATGCATGTTGTCAAGATACGAATTCCACAAATTATACTACTACTAATTATGACGAAAAACTTCGACCAACTTTTTATTCTTTCTTAATTTTTGTGTTTTCGCCAGCGTGAAAAATAGTACATACACCTCAGGACAGAATGCTATTTTTCCCTCGGTGCATTGTATCTCTCGGGCTTCGCCCTCGAGCTTCAAATCGCACCTTGGAAAATCTCTTAACATTTCTGTCCCTTGATGTATAATGTACTATCCCATCAATGTAACCAAGCATCTGTAGCTCTTCTTTCTTTTCATTTGTCTCTTCAAAATTCGTCGATCCAATGATAACCAACCAGGAGACCTCAGTTCAGACATTTTGATTGAATAATCTTTTCCAATTGTTTTCATGACATATTCTCCAGTCAGTTCATTCCATCTGTAGCATTCGATTTTAGAATTATTCCTACATTTCTAATGTCTTGAAATCCAGTTATATTAACCCTGGCTTCTACTGGATTTATTCTATCTCAAATCTTCTTTGGTTTTGGTATTTCTTTGCATAACTTCAGGTTTGATGATTAAAGAGGGTATGTTGAGGGGACTATCACTTTTCTTCTTATTTAATTTAATTATTTCAGCATAGGATGGTAATCCAACATTTTTTATTCCACTTGGCTTATTTGTTGAGGTATATCTATCTTATCTTTCAGGGAATTAATTTCCTTCAATATATCTCCCATTTCATTCCTCTCCATTATCATCATATTGTATTCTATTTACAAGAAATTCACCTGACTAGTGAGTGTGTTGATTAATCTTTCATTCTTCGAAATAATTTCATCTTTAGATTTCAATAGTTCTTTCAAGAGTTCATTTTCCCGACTCGAATATATCGATTCATTTATGTTATTCTTATTTTGTTCTTGCTATTTGGAAATGTGATTTGGTTTGACAAAGGAATCTGGAAGCAATGTTGAAACTTCACTGAGATCATCACATAGTTTTTACATAGTCTATTTGAGTGGATGGGAAATCATCATTGGAAAATGGATCACTTTGTATTTCTCTCGACAAATTTTGTGGAATTTCATAATGAATTGTCACTAGCTATCACGAACATTAGTCAAACGAACCCATTTCTTCATGGTAATACAAGCTGTCAATGAATGCTCATCAATGAATATTCTTCAAAAATTATGTATCTTGATTTTTTGACCGCAGAAATTTTTCTGATGGCCTAAAAAAGTGTGAGATTACTGAAGCAAACAAAACAAACATTCTCATGCAAAATAATCAAATTCCTTATTCTCAATTCGAAAACACTCACAAATATCACAAAAAACAGTTACATAGGTACTTATAAAAAGAAGATGAATATCGCTATGAAAAAACTCTAATTACTACAGTTTGGTGTAACGGAATTCAACGAACTTGGTGCCACTATAAAGGGTTGTTTAAGTTCTTTCAGATAAATCACGATACGTGCCTCTCTAAATCTCCTGGTTGCCGCTGGATGGCACCGTTTTAAAAATCAAACAATTTTAAATTTCAAATGAAACCATATATTTTTCTCCGATTAATAATTGTTCATTCTTACTCATGTATGTGTTGATTCGGTCCCGTAATTCCATGATTTTTCTTTGACAGTTCTTGTCTAGGAAGTTATAATTTAAGATAAAGATATATACAGGGTGATTCAAAAGTAAGCGGCATCCTTTCAGAGGCGTATTCCTTGCATGAAAATAAGGCAAAAAGTTCCTATTGATAAGGATCCGAAAATGCTTCCTAAGGGAGCTACGGCCCTTTGAATAGGACACCTCAAAGACGGTTTTTTCTCTATAACTTTAAAATCCTTCACAACAAATTTTTAAAAATTGGTGTACGGCATAAACATTCGATGGTAAATAGGACTCCGTATTCGAAATAATTTCCAAACGAAATCACAGTAACCTGAATATCCGGAGAAGAAGGGATATTTTTACACTTACCCTCTCCCGCATGTGACGCCCCTGAATGAAATTCTGAAATTTCGAATACGGAGTCCTATTTACCATCGAATGTTTATGCCGTACACCAATTTTTAAAAATTTGTTGTGAAGGATTTTAAAGTTATAGAGAAAAAACCGTCTTTGAGGTGTCCTATTCAAAGGGCCGTAGCTCCCTTAGGAAGCATTTTCGGATCCTTATCAATAGGAACTTTTTGCCTTATTTTCAAGCAAGGAATACGCCTCTGAAAGGATGCCGCTTACTTTTGAATCACCCTGTATAGTGAGATGCTCAGTTAAAATAAGTGTTTTTCTTGAGGCCAGAATATGCTGATATTTCATATAATATAAGCCAAAACAACTTTTTTCTTTTATTTCAAAAGTTCAAAGATCACTTCTGATGCATTTCTAATTCTTCTGATGTCGATTTCAAAATGATTGTGTCAATTTTTTTTGTGAAAATACATGATGAGAGGAGAAAACGATATCCATATGAGCTCGAGGCTGATTTATACAAGGTGTTGTATGATAGATATACCACGTGTTATTTATACCTTCTGAATCTTCTTTTCATGTAATTGAAAACGAGGAATACACAGGATTTTAGTATAGTACGAATGATTCACCATAAAATATATTTCATAGTACAATATTGTATACCTCTGTATTGAATGACTGTTTTTTATCGATATCTTCACGAAATTATCAGATGTTATTTATTTTAATAAATGTTTATACCAGCATGTGATTTTTATTGCTTTCAAGTGGTCAGAAAAATCAATGTATAGTTGAGTGCATGGGCGTAGAGAGGGGCAAGGGTGAGCGCTTGCACGCCCCCCATGTTCAGTCAGGAAAAATAGCATTGAAGGTTTTCTGCATGATAATTAATATTCATAAACTTCATCAATTCGTGATCGGAATTTTTTAACATTGTCATGCATCCAGATATAGCTAGAAAAATACTAGAACTCGTTGAACATCACCATGCACAGATGAAAAGGATTTCTTCTCGGATTTCTTGAATCAATGCGGAACAGCATTGACTCAACCTTAAGACGCTCTTGAATAGGTTCAACCAACTATTTGTTTCATTTTTTTACAGAACTATCTCGACTTATCCATGAAAGAAAATCTTGATTCAGATGGATATGTCTTTATTATCACACGTATTAAATATTATTAAATATGCGTCTTGAACAAGGAGGAATGCAGTTTGAAAATTTGCTATAGTGAAAATTTCAAGAAATTAGGCAATTGAAAAAAAATGTAAGTGCATCGCTGAAGTTATTGTTAATTTTGTTAAGTTTGTTGATCCGATCGCAAATTAATTAGTATCGTTTGATTCGTCAAAATATCCTTTTTTCGGGAAGTGCTTACAAGTAAATAAATTATCATCCATGGCACACTTGACAAAAGTAAATGAACTATTATGAAGTATTTTCGTCAGTAATACTCAATTTATGTTCTTATTCGTAATCCAATCGCAAATAAATTAATATCGTTAGATTCGTTAAAATATCCTTGTTTCGGAAAGTGCTTGTCAAAAAATGGTCGCCATTTGAAAAATAATAGTTATATAGACACGGAAATTTAATTTTGCCAACTTGTCCTATTCATATCTATCATACTTGTCACTGAAACTTCGCGATTGTAATTTTCTGATATTACCTGAGGTCCTTAGATTAGTTTATACTTCCACCTAGATGTAATTTAAAAAGTGACTCCGAAAAAATTAAGTAGGCATAAAAACTCCCGAAAAAGTCACATTCTGATCCAGAATTGTCTCAAAAATCCAAAAATGTCACAATATACAGGGTGTTTCATTTGAAAATTTAGAACCGGAGCCATTTCCGGTGAAACCGAAAGTGACCGGAAAGTGAAAAATATGTGAAAATTTTCTTCACATACCATTTACCTATACCGAATCTTTCGATACACCTTATGGTCTAGAAGTTATGACTTGTCTAATATAGATTCGTTGACACCCGGTATATGTCAATTGATTTGCTCGTCATGATTATTTTGAATTGTTTGAACTATCTCCAATTCTTCATCCGTTCACTGTTTACTAAACTAATGAAAATTTGATAATGTAAAAAAATTAACCCACTCAACCATCATCACTACCAACAGTGCCAACACTTTATGTCATTGACAAGTTTGACTACAGCTACGGCAAGCTGAATGCAATGTAGTCATGGTGGATATATATTTCCACCATGAATGTAGTCTATGCACTTTATCCATAGACAACAGTTTGTTTTCCCCCAGTTTGAAGTTCGTATTATGTAACCTAGATGTCGCCCACTTCGTGAATCTCGCGAATTATAACACAACCAGAATGAAAACATGTATTATATAAATGAAAACGTATACATATAGTACATATATGTGTAGCTTCAACTACGATTTACTGTCCTCGTCTTCTTCCTCAGAATGTCACTGTGCTTGAAATAGCTTGAATGTTGAACCACGAAAACCTAGAGAAAAGAGTGAAATCATCAATTGGAAAATGAATTATCAACCGTATACCTAAAGAACTTGCTTCAGATGAAACAATATTTCCATTCATCACAGGCATTGTCAAAAACCAACGAAATTTCAAGACAACCAAATATTTTCTGGTTACAAGAAATTCTGCGTTTGACAAAAGGGCATGTATTTAAGTTATTATAGGTATGTGAAAACACGAAAAAAGGTGACAGATTATTATTATCTCTACCAATTTGAAGCAACATATTATGCATTTTTGGAATCAGCTCAGCAAAGGCAATTTGAAAATTGAAAAAAAAGGGGGGGTTCCATTTGAAAAAAATGGTGATGACGTCATTACACGAAAGTGGTTCACCCTGTATATTAGATCATGATTTGGAACAATAGTAAATTGAAATCAAAAATCGACCTGTTTCGGGAATTTCTAATTTTATTGTTCATTTAGCCAATAATGAATTTATACGTTACTTTATGGACGCACTGTATATTTCAACCTATGAGACATCAGAATAAAAGAGATATCATTATCATGTCCGATAGTCAAGCAGCCATTGAAGCGATGCTCTATGGTAATCAGCTCTAAAGTGGTTTGGGACTGCCGGGATAAACTGAACGGGCTAGCCAACAGAAATACGGTCATCTCCTATAGGAGATTTTGAGGAACATTTCCCGTGGAAGTATCTGTAGAAAAGTCGAAGGTCGCTGAATTTTTTATGGTGTTCTAATGAAGTATTAGTATCAGTGAGTATGGGATCACCCACCAGGCGAATTGCCCTTCGATCTCTGGATGGAATCTGAGAGCATCAGCGTATGTTTGGGTGCTGAACCCCAAATGTGAGAACAGTATTCTGAAACAGGAAGTATCTGTGCTTGGTAGATCATCAGAAGCTGTTGAGGTGTGCAGTAGATTTCCGCACAAAATAAAAATCCGAGTTTTTGTGAAGCAGCTTTCGCGATGGATCTGACATGATTATTCCATGAGAGAGTCTTGGTGAAAATGGTGATACCAGACATCGTTATATCAGGCACATTGATTTCTGCTCTTCTAGAGAAAATACAGGCTCCAGTTTTGGTGACGTTGAATTCAACGAGGTTGTTGTTTTGCCCATGTAGTTTCAGCAAAATTGTCATTGGCAGCGTTGTCCTTTAGAGTACTATCGTCTGCAAAGCTGTGGATAGGGCAGATGGTTGCTCCCAATAGATCATTGATATGAAGTACGAACAATGTAGGTACCAAGATTGATCCTTGTGGAACGCTAGGAATTGATGGCAATGGTATCAGAAGATAATCCGTCCACCCACCACATATGAAGCAATCTTCCTGAAAGAGAACTCGGTAAAAGATGGCAAAGCTGGGGTGGTGAGCCGTATGATGGTATTATGTGGAGGAGTCCTTGGTGCTAACCACGGTCGAATGCCTTCGATATATCCAACGCCACAGCTAGAGATTCATCATGTTTTTTAAATGAAGCTTGCCATATACGCAGTAAAAAAATTTCGAGTGTAATCTCAATCGAGTGGATTTTAGAAATAACTCCGATTGAAACACTTGATGAGCAATATTTTATCAATATTATTAGAAATTTGATAATACCGTGTACAGTGGTGTCAATTCACTCCTTCATAGTGCAATATCACACGGATGTTGGTCCTGAAATATTCATTTAAAAGAAACACCAGAAGTATGAAAAGTAATTACTTTCGATAGTGGTATTATTCAGGTTAACGCAAAAAATACACTCATGATATGAAATCAACACCTTGTTACACTCTGACAAATCAAGAATGAAACAAAACCGTGTATGAATAATGAGATTTGGGGCTAATATAATTACTCAGCGTCTTGCATTCTCCCATGTGAATAAATAATGTTGCTGTTGTTGAAATAGACCCGGAAAAACCTGAACTCATTGAAAAATGGATAAAAATTGTATAGGTACATCATCCACAAATGCTGATATCCAGATTGATAGGTGACAATAGGAACGGATGGTTTCGTGAAAATAATGCATTAAATAAATTTTGAGTTGATTCATCAATTATATATGATGATTTCGAGATTGCGAAGCTAAAAAGAGTACTTATATCAAACCAGATTGAAACATAAAATTGAATATCAAAGTATAAATAGAGTGCACAGACAGACAGTCTTCAAATAGTATCACCTCAGAGATATTATACCTATAATGTCTCAACTCTCACTACATGGAATGATTTCATGCACTGAATATTAATGTAAGTATATCTGAGTCGTGTCATCCAATACTCAGATGCAGACAGGAAAGCACCGCTCCTCAGCGTGATAACACTCAATAGGTGTGTTTTCACAACAGAAAAATGCCCGAGAAATATCCGCATACATAATATTGTCAAAATAATCATCAAATGATTGTATAGTACACCACTTTGGTGTTGAATAACAGGAACCGATCAAATTTGCACTAGATACTCTAGTGTAGTTCTTGGCTGTATGTAAGAACGAATAACACCCTATGATGGTGTTAAGAATATCAGTGTTAATTCTCACTAGAATAATCAGGACCTCAGGGGACACCGATGGGTGTTAGCTGGTGTGAACTGGTGTTATTTTTTTCTTCACTGTGTATGGTTGACGTAGGCAAGTAAATAGCCAGTTGATCTTCAGTGGTGAAAGTCATATTGTCTATCATTGATGATTCCCAAGCTTTCCAGATATTTGATGAGCTCAATTTTGATGGCTTTCTCCATCACTTTGGACATGATTGACTCGATGATTGATAACAGAACAATTGACCTATAGTTCTTAGGCAGGCGTTTGTTTTCTCTTTTGGGGATTGGTTGACTTCCTGTATACTGTATATTGTATACTTAGATCTGTTAATGAAACTGAGAACCCTGGTAGAAACTGACGTTTGTTATTGATTCATCTTTGTCTGTTTAGTAGTTTCCAAAGCCCCTGTGGTTGTAACGATCGTCACTTTTTTCCTACCTTACCATTTCAAAATTGGCATAACCAGATACTGTCAGATTTTAACTCAATCCTCAAAAATGTATTTGATTTTAAATTATTAGATTCAGGAGTATATCATGATCGAAAACCAGGATAACTTGGAAGAAATCAATGAAGAACCTGATCAAGAATCAGACTGTGTTGGATACTACACAAGATCGAAAAGACGAAAACTCAATCATGATGTGGAAAAATGTACCACCAGTTTCAGAGAACACACAGACAGAAGAAGAAAGAATCCTATCATGTTCCTGCCAACGGAAATGCTGCGTGCTATATTCGAAAATATCGACTACCATGAATTAAGTATGACATACCTCATTTAACTATAAACTCTTCTTCATGGTCAAATAACAGTTTTCAGTTTACTTAGCCTAAAGAAAATATCTGTGTTCTCTGCTCACATTATATACAATGAGTTTCATTCATTGATATTTTCGAACAGTCAACTCGTATTTTCAGAAAACTTCGACCACATTTTCAATATTGTCTGTCGCTGAAGCTGATATCAATTTTTGATAGGTCAAAACGTTCGTCTAGTCAATACAAGATTCAGGCTGATAGCTGAAGATCTGTTGAACAAAGCATACAAGAAAATAGAACAGCAACTGGAAACTCTCGTGAAAACAACAGAAGTATCCTTGAGTTGCAACATCGACGACATGGAAATCAGATGTTTATTGAAACTATTGAATTTTCTAGAGATTTTAAAAATGCAGGTATTTGAATTATTCGAATGGATAGTAAGAATAGTGAATCATATTCTTGAGTCTACTGGTAGTATTGTCTCAGTAAACTGCGAGTTTTATTTGGCATCGTAATGTGAATCATAAAATGACCAAAAGGGTCCGTCCGGAATAGCAGTCATTGTGATATCAATGGGACTGCCAAATCGAGTTAGGGATGTGATGTGTGACATGAATGTGATGCCTTATAATATCAATTTTTATTAAATTACTCACTAGAAATTACTAAATGCTGTGAGTGAGTAACATTTTTGCCTACTTGCCTACGTCACCCATTTATGGCAATCTTCAATAGAAAAACATGGGGAATCTCTAGCTGTCGCGTTGGACATATCGAAAGCATTCGATCGTGTTTGGCACGGAGGACTCCTCCACAAACTACCATCATACGGCTTACCTCCTCAGCTATGCCATCTCTTATCGAGTTTTCTTTCAGGCAGATCGCTTCACGTGGTGGTGGACGGTGTATCGTCTGATACCATTGGCATCAATTCCGGCGTTCCACAAGGATCAATTTTGGCACCAACCCTGCTTCATATCAATGATCTGTTGGGAGTAACAACTTGCCCCATCCACAGCTTTGCAGATGATAGTACCCTCCATACTGCGTTCTCTTCCAGAATTCCCATATCTTCCCAGGAAACTAAGAACTCACGGCGCAGGCAGGTCAATGCTGTCAATGAAGATTTTGCTGAAATCACAGCCTGGGGAACAAACGACCTAGTTGAATTCAACGCCACCAAAACTCAAGCCTGCATTTTCTCTAGAAAGGCGGAACTCAGTATGCCCGATTTTGTAATGTCTGGCTCCACCATCCCCACCAAGCCCACCATATCTATGTTCGGTAGTTCCATCAGCAATACTCTTTCATGGGATAATCATGTCAGATCCATCGCAAAAGCTGCTTCACAAAAATTCGGATACTTGTTCCGTGCCAAAAGCTACTTTACATATCAACAGCTTCTCATGATCTACAGAGCACAGATACTGCCTGTTCTAGAATACTGCTCCCACATATGAGGTTCAGCACCAAAACATACGCTGATACTCTTAGATTCCATCCAGAGAAGAGCCATTCGCCTGGTGGGTGACGCCACACTCACTCACTCTTTGACATCATTGGAACACCGTAGAAAGGTCGGCGACCTTTCACTTTTCTATCGATACTTCCACGGGAAATGTTCTTCGGAAATCTCTGCTATCATCCCTTCACTAGCAATACCAATCAGACGAACTAGACAAGCCCAGTCAGCACATCCCTTCGTTGTCAACCTCGAAAGATGTCGAACAGCACTTTATCAAGACTCCTTCATCCATAGAACGGCTAGGCTCTGGAATTCATTGCCTGTGGATGTATTCTCAACAACATATAATCTCCAAAAGTTCAAAAAAAAATCCAATACCTACCTCCTGTCCCTATCCTCCCTAGAAACGCACGATGTTCTTTGAACATTATAGGGCTTCCCTTTCGTGCGCTCCAAGCGATAAAAAAAAAGACGAGAAATGTGGAAACAATTTTCGGGTTGCTGTGATAATATGACATATACATATAATAATATGAAAACGGGCAGCACTCAATATTATAATTATTTTCAGTTGAACTAAAAATAAAAATGTTTTCGGCAACCGCCCGGGAGTGCTCACTTCCCGGACGGAAGTGCTCCCTTCCCTTTGAGAAAGTAGCATTTTTCCGGCCTAGTCCAAAAACATCTCGAAACGTGACTTACAGTCACAGAATATGCCATGTCAAAAATTATGGAAATCGATCTCAGCCAACTCTTTTCATGAGCAAAATTTTTTTTTCCAAAAAAACTTCAACGCCTTGTACCAACTCAACGAGCCGATTTTGGGTACAGTCGTCTTCAGAGATCATGTCGCGGTTGGACGGTGTCAGCGCTCTTATTGCAAGAGTTATTAAGAATGCTATCATCGTCCATGTGCGACATGTTTTCTGAAGATGACTGTACAGGTAAGTTGGCCTACATCAGCTTGTTTTCATCCCATGAGTCCACAGTCGAGCCATGTCCCAACCTTTTACAGACACCCTGTATATCATTTGTCCTTTATATATGAATATTTATGAGATCGATTTTACATTTATTCTCGACCCATGTTATTCGTATAAAACCTAATGCAAAAACCGGATTATAGTGTAGTGGATACAAAGAACAAGAAGTATACAATTTCCTCATGAGTGAACTACGTTGACTTCATGAACTGAAGATCAACTTGCTCATCTGTACACTACACACTGTTTTACCACTAACCAAACCGATTTTTCACCCCTCGACACGTGTTTCGCTTACTATGTTAGCATCTCCAGGAGAAGATTAAAACTGTCTGTGTTGTGTTTCGTTTCATTTTGGGTCAATAATCATAATTGATTGAAGGAAGAAAACGATAAAAATCATGTTCATTCTCAATAATTTCAAATCATTTGTAGAGCCAACTGAACATACATTTTTTTCCAGTATGATTTAGTTATTTCTACAATCTGGAGGTACGTGTACAATGAATACTATCGAACTAGCAGATCTTGTATGTATGGAGGACAACTCATTGATGCTCATCGTTTATTTATTTTCAAATTCCTGTACTATCCCAATACCCTTTATGGTCCAGCGGTTGTTAAAGAATACGTGAGTATGTGGGATACACATCTGTTTATTATGAAAAAATATTTTTTCTGCAACCGACACAAAAGTCGTCCATTTTGATACCAAAATTAGCTCTTAAATTGACGTTTCTATTACTGGCACAAAAATAGGTAGGTTGCTAGGCAACATATTTAGTTCCTATGAGCTTAAGTTGAATTTTAGTTCCTAGGAGCTAAAGTTGAACTTTAGCTCCTAGGAACTTAAAAGGAAGTACTGGACGTCATCAAGAATGAACAACATTGTGACGATTGGTTATTTGGGTTGAGACGCATACCTGATTTGTTTCCGATTTCAGCAGATTTGGAATTTCATACCCATGCTGGAGATATAAATACACCTTATTATAGTTTAGTATTGGAATTATAAACATCTCAGCTAAGTATCTCTGTTTGATCAGGGAAGCCTTCAAGATTCAAATACTTGCTTGATCTGTATTACCTACATTCGTTATTCTCGTGATGGATAACTTGTTTCTGAATAATCACGGCAAGCAATAGTTTTTTGTCTCAAACAACGATATTGTTTAGCTTCATTCGATTATTAAGTGAAAAACATTGTATCATAGAGAGGAGTAAATAATCACCATTATCATTGTTGATATGCTCATTAACCTAACATTTTCCACGTCTTGTTCCTATAGCTGGCGCGGTATTTGCTATTAGAGCACCTGGTCCATACACAAATATGTCACTCTGTGATTGTACTTATATTGAAACTACAATTCGAACATCCTTGAAAATTGAATGAACCTGCAACCTGCTAATGATGCAGGTAGAATGTTCTCACTATATACACGGATTATTTGTCAATATTTGTTGCATTGCATACATATGGCACGGCATTGGTGGTAACTTCACATATTTATTTGAGTTAATTGTTTCGGTTGCAGAAAAAATAGCATGTTTCATTCGGATCAAAAGTGACTTTGTTCAACTCGCAAATTTTGCTTTCGCTCGGCTTCGCTAAACACTCCGCCTCGCAAATGCAAAATTCGCTTGTCAAACAAAGTGTCACTTTTGATCCTAATAAAACAATCTACTATTCATGTAGATATAGTGTGGAGTTCATTGAATTTTCAAAATTTTTTAGGCCCTGCCACCAGAAGTCATCAAAATCATTCAGATGACGAAAAGTTTTTGTGTTCATTTTGATAAAATTAATGAAGAACCTCTAGGCGATAGCTTGGTGGCCAGTGGTTGTAAGATCGTGGACATAGTGAAATGTTCGAAGTTCAGTCAAGAACTGTTATCCACAGAGAACAGCTCGAAGGATTATTTCAGAGCAGAAGTGAGTATTGGCCAGACATCTTCGTTTCGTGCCCCACTTCAAACAGGAATTTACGCCCAGTCAAGCCTAGAGTCCCTGATGTATGTATAATTCCCTGTATATATTTGTCAGTTTTGTTGTAATTCGCGAAAATCACGAAGTCTCTGGTGGCTAACTTTACAAGTCTTGCGAGTATGAACAACAAATATGGCGACCATTGTTTTGAGTTACTGTGTTTTATATGAAAATAATTTATTTGTTGAAGTTTATATTCCAGAACCTCATTTCTCCCTGATGAAAACACTCGAATTATTGCATGAACTTTTATTGTTTACAATGAAGAAGCCAGTACCTACCGTATAATAATATAATATACATTTTCTGAAGCAGAGTTAGAATTCTTGTATAAATGTTGGTTGCAATGATTCGATCTTGAGAATAACTCCAAGTCTTCAATTGCTGGAGATCCTTGTTTATGTAAATCGATGATATTGTTCATTCTGAGCAGCCTTTCCAACCATATCTTCTTTTCCCAGCCCCTTCACTAGAATTCCATCTTCATAAAAGCCAGTGATATTTCTTGATGAATTAAATTATTTCTTCATACCTATACCATATTGGTGTAATAGCTGATTGCTTATATGGCTCCCTGCCAGTCCATGCAAGTGTTGAGTGGACCATTCCATATGTTTGGAAACAGTGGAATTGTAGTGTGATATCAATGATGAATACCACCATTGTTCACATCAAAATGGCAATTTCTCTGTACGAATAGTAATTTTTTCCATACTGGAAACCTTGTACGTATTTCACGAAGTCAACTCATTATTCACTATTTTGCAAAATGATTTCAAAATAGCCAGTGCATACGGCAATGTTTTTGTTGTTCATACTCAGTTTGAAATTTGACGTTGATTTGACGTTAAATAGAGCCATCTATTGGTTCGTGATTTTCGCGAATAAGAGTACGGACACTATGACAAGCAGTGACGGGAGGCATAACTCCAAATTCTCAAAATGACTTTTGAACAAAGACATGGATATGCTTGGGTCTTTTGTTGATCTGAGCTTTTCCATGCACTTCGGATCTTCTATCCTCTACTGCTGCGGTGAAGGGTACATCCATATATCTTTCTCTGTCTTTATTTTCATAAAGAAGTGTGGTCTCATCTCACTGGCGAAAAGGGGTCATAGTTTGTAAATCAATTTGTTGAAAGTATTTCTCGATATACTTAACAAAGGGTATATGTACTTCAATTTATTTGATTTTAGGATGCACTAGTTTTTCAATAGATAGAGTCAGGATTTAGTAGCCAGTTCTGATGGGCAGAATGTAAATGAATGGAAAGAACAATTCAACCAATTAACAAACTTATATTTGTTTTCATAACATACTAAGACACTTCATAGGGCATGAACGATCAGAAAATTCGACAAATACAAGTATAATGATTATAATTCAAGAATAGTATATCCTATGACAAGAATACAAAATTTCAAATAATGGTAGAGTAAAGTGGGGTAATATGGCAACATAAAATTTAAATGCTCACAATCTAATAACCATCGCGCCTAGCTGAAAGACGATGGCTGCACGTTAGAGCTTACACAATATATTTTTGTGTCCAGAGTCGCTCGTTGCCATTTTTCCACACAGCAAAAGATCACAAGTTAAAAAAGACAACAATCTCTTTCACATGTAGGAAGATTTTGGATTTTTATTTTTAGATAATGAAAAAATTCATTCAATATACCAGGCTCGAAATTAATATTTGAAATTTTCCTATTTGAAGTTCGTAGCGATGGTAATTGATATTGAAATTTGAGTAATGTTTCATAACCGGATGATCCACACATGAATTTTATGACTGAAGCTTTTTCGACACTCTCTGCATTCCATCTATTACCATTATATTCAGAATTATGAGAAATATGTTGCTCATAAATAGCAACTTCACTTAGAATACCTTTTAATTTGTAATCGATTTCTGTTCTGTTCTATAATGAAGTTACTATAATTCGAGAAAAAGTTTGAACACAATTACACTATTACCATTATATTCAGAATTATGAGAAATATGTTGCTCATAAATAGCAACTTCACTTAGAATACCTTTTAATTTGTAATCGATTTCTGTTCTGTTCTATAATGAAGTTACTATAATTCGAGAAAAAGTTTGAACACAATTCGGCAACGTAGCATTTTTACACACCTGAGAAAAATCAGAAGTTAGCAGAGAGTACATAAGTAGTACCTACACATCGGTGTGTATAGTTCGGTCGATATAATGAACTTTTCCAAAAACTAAACGAGAGATTGCTGGGTTTCGGCCAGCTGGTCCTTTTCGAGCAAATTGATAGTGTAATCACTCAAATTTGTAATCCTGTTTTCCCTTCCCTCCCAAAAACCCTGTTTTTCCGAGTGAAAGAAGAACCGGACCATCAGAGAGTCAACTACCAAAAAACCGGTGAGTACAAAAATTGATGTTATACGAAGGAACATTTGGGCCTATCGAGCTGGATACTCATAAAAAATCATTTAAATCGTAAACGGAAAATATTTATCGGAAAATATTTATCGGAATTCATTCTATCATCTCCTTTACTTCAACGTTCTCTTTTTTTTTGGAAAAAAATTGTGTACACCGATCGGTCGGCGCACACTTTCTTGTTGACGTTGGAGCAGGTGGAGAATGCAAGGTTGTCGGATTGTGGAAAAGTCGGGGTTTAGGAAAAGTTCATGTTTGGTTTATTTCAATTAGGAAAGCGGTTTCTGATTTAATTTATCGGAATTTAATTTAGGTCGGTGATTTATTCAAGCACTTTTGAATTCTAATTTGCAGATATGACTACCTCGGAAAGGGAATTGAAAAAACTTATTGCAAAAAAAGAAAGTTTGTTTTGCATCTTGCAGAAGTTATACGATGTGAGTAAAGATTTGTCAACGGAATCATTGAGATCAAAATTTCGGACGTTGATGATGACGTATGAGGAAACGAAAAATAACATTTATTCGGTGTTAGATGAAATAAATAATGTACAGTTTGAAATCAAGGCAGATTACACTCCAGATTATAGAGTAATACAAACCACAAATGAACTTTGCTGTTACATTCAAGCGGCGGCAGAAAGAATTAAACTACCTAGTAATGCTTCAGTAAATAATGAGAGTTCTAGTACTAGTGTTGGCAGGGGTGCACCATCTTTACGTAGTTCTTTAAAAATCCCAGATGCTAAGCTACCAGAATTTTACGGGGAAATTCGTCAGTGGGAAACTTTTCACGCGGTTTATAAGAGTATGGTTCATTCGAATCCAAATTTGACAAATCTTGATAAGGTTCATCTTTTAGCCGGTTGCATAAAGGGTCCTGCTCAGAGCGTGTATGCAGGTATTGCAATTGTTCCGGATAATTATGACATAATTTACAAAACGTTGTGTGATAAGTATGAAAATAAACGAATCTTGGCTAATACATATTTACAACAAATCATGGAATTCAAATCATTTAACAACGAGTCTGAGAGAAATTTAAATGCATTTTTGGAACGATTTGACACTTCAGTATCAGCATTGAAAAATTTAAATTTACAGGATTTGACAGATTTTATATTTACATATGTGGCCTTGTCTAAACTGGATAGTGAAACAGTACGAAGTTTTGAAAACGATCAAAGGGGAGCGGATATTCCCACTTATGAAAATTTGATAACATTCATAAAGGGACAAACTCGTATCCTACATTTAAATAAATCTTCTACGAGTTCGGGTGGAAGGCCGGCGGTTAAAAGTTTTTTTGTTAGTGATAATAGAAATACCAGAAATAACAATTGTTTATATTGTAAGAAACCTTCACATTATTTAGGACGCTGTGAAAAATTCAAACAGCTCACACCCAACAGAAGATATGAGATAGTTAGAGATAACAATTGGTGCTTTTTGTGTTTATCTTCAACTCACGGGGTACGAAATTGTCCCTCAGAAAGATCGTGTGTAATGTGTTTCAAAAAACATCATGTTTTGTTACATTTCGGAAAAACTCAAGAACCGACACAGGGTAGGAGTACGGAAGTGGGTGATTCTGCAATATCAAATAATCCGGGTAATCCTCAGGAAACTGTAGAAATCCATTTATGTTCTACGCTGATCGGAAATAATGATCCAAATTATACCAGTTTATTATCTACAGTGGTAGTTTCGGTGGTAAATAGCTGCATTCCTAAAAGTACAGCTAGATTTATACTAGATTCTGGCAGTCAAGCAAATTTATTAACAGTTAGTTTTTGTAGAAGAATGGGATTGAATATAACGAAATATTTTTCATCAATAAACGGTTTAGGTGGAAACAAACAATCCGTGCGGGGAATGACAACACTTACAATTGCATCGCGTTATGATTCAAGCAAAGCATATACAATAAGCGCGCTTCTGGTGGAAAAGATTACGGATAAATTACCAAAAATCTGTGTGGATGTCAATAGTATCCCGGGTTTAGAGGGTGTTCGTCTCGCTGATGATAATTTTAACAGACCTGGAGAAATACATGGCATAATAGGAGTTGAACTTTTCGGTATTATTTTGGGCAAACACCGCATAACCGGGATAGCAGGTTATCCGGTAGCGGTAGAAACAGAATTCGGTTATGTTGTCATGGGTAAAATTCCAGTCTTGTCCAGAATTGAAAATCCTTCGGTATATTTTTCTATGCAAGAAGAGCACTCTATTGAACAGCTATTAACAAAATTTTGGGAAGTAGAGAAGGTACCAAATAAACCTTTATTAATACCTGAGGAAACAGAGTGCGAAAACATTTATAGGTCGACCTATAGTAGGGATGACACAGGGCGGTACACAGTGGCGTTACCTTTCAAAATTTCACCAGAAAGTTTGGGTGACTCGAGGACACATGCCTACTTTCGTTTGATTTCTTTAGAAAAACGGTTAGCTAAAGATCCAAAACTACGTGTCGATTATAATGCTGCAATGCAAACTTTCTTAGACAATGGTCATATGGCCTTAGTGG